GAAAACTGAAATGAGAAACTAGCAAAACTATTCTTTATATACATTAATTATAAAGAACTACAAAACTAACTAGAAAACAATGGTTATAAAAACAAGAAAACTATAAAACAGTAAATATTATGGAAATTTCTGAAATCTTTAGATTTTTCATTAATTTTACATAGATTGTTGTGTATATATATATATATGGATATATAAAATTTAAAACAATTAAAAAATTACACAGAAGTCAACAGAACCATCATTACAGCCAACAAAAACCAGAGTTTTAATGGAGAAAATCTACCAAGGTAGATATAAAACCATATGTATCTTTTAATTTCATTAAAATATAAGAAAGCCCTTTAACAAAAAAAAACAATTAAAAAATTTAGTTCCATCAATAAAAATTTGTAGTTCTCAAAACAAAGAAAAATCCCAACAGTCAAATACATACTATATAGACTAAAATTAGGTTGATTATAAGATGGGAGAAATTTTATGAAATACACCTCTTAAGGTGCAAATTTTCAAAACTACACCTATAGTGTGGAAATTTTCAAAAATACACAATTTTAATATATATATTTGGGTTCACTATTCCTAGATTAGGGTTTAAATTTTGGGATTTAGGGTTTAGATTTAAGGGTTCAATGTTAGATTTTAGGGTTTTGGATTTATATTTTAGGGTTTAGAGTTCTTTTACTCAATGAAAAAAGTGTAGTTTTGAAAATTGGTACCATAGAGATGTATTTTTGAAAATTGACACCTCAAGAGGTGTAGTTTTGAAATTTCCCCATAAGATGAGGACAATTTTTATTTGACTACATAAACTACTTTCCATAATCTTGCACCAAATCATCTATAAAAAAATGGAATTATATATAACTGAATGTTCAAAAAAATTATAAATTAAAATGTCATATAATATATATTTAAATAAAACCTACAACATAACCAACATTAAATTAATAGTAAAGTGATGAATATATTAAAGATATTGTTCCTAAGAACATACATATGAATTTTTGTTTATTAATCAGCATATGAAAATATTGGACAGGATCTTACCTTCAATGAAGAATAAGTTAAGCAACCCATTGGAGATGCTTTATGTGTCTCATTCCAATTTTTAGTTAAAATGACCCCAAAAAGTATTCTATTAATAATTATAGGAATTAGGATTAGGGATATGATTACTCACAAATAGTTGAAGACTAGAGTTTGACCCGCGCCCAGCACGGGGAGATGGTTTCTGAATTTGTATTTTTTAATTAAAAATGTATATTTAACTATTTCAAAATTTTATGTGACAGATTTTTTTACCTTGTTAAGGTTTTTATCTTCGTTTATAATGTGGAAATTAAACATTTTAAAAATTAAAACAAATTAAAACATTGATCATAGACATAGATTAAATATGCTAGACTATAGATTAAATATGCTAGACTTCAGCAAAATACATAAAACAAATCAAATGAGTATATTTTATAAGATAAGAAGATAAGAAGTTTTAGGTGTTTACACGGATTAGAACTAACTTTTTTTATTTCTTTTAAAACTAAAACATGTTTTATTATAATTCCAAAACAATCCAACCAATAAAAGATCAATCTTGCAAAATCCAAATTGTCAAAATAACAAAAGTATAAGTAATTTTGTACTGAAAAATTGAAACAAATGGAGCAATATTCAAATTTTTGATCAAAATTAAATACATTTATAAAAAATATTATTTTATTTGATTTCATTATACAGTTTAACTAAAAAATCATATAAAATATTTTAAATTACATTTAGATACCTACTCTCCTACTTACATGGTTGCATATCATCTATTTTTTATAATATATTTTTACACCTACACACAACAACATATTGGGAATTTTAATAGTTTTAGTGATTATTTTGTTTTTAAAAATTCAAATCATAGCATATATAGAAAAAGTTTTAGATTTTATTTATTAGATTTTTTGTATTGTGTCAATTTTTTATTTTATAAAATAAAGTTAAACAAAGATGAAAGGAGATATAGAATGATTTAAAAAAAATATAATGATAGCATTAAATTGAATCTCATATTTTTCCTTATTTACTAATTTTCGTAATTGTCAATTAAGGAAAGAGAATGATGATTCTTTTATTAATAATTTCATATATGATTAATCTAACTATACATATTTGATTCTCTAACCAAAAATATGAATGACAATGTTTGTAATTAGTCTAGTAAACTAATCCTTATTTTATAAATAACATGAGAAGCTCCTAATGATGACACATCAGCATGCATTCTTGTTAATAACACATCAACTAAAGGTTATTTTTAAAGTGTTTTCTCTTTTAATATATTAGGGATGTATCGCTGATTGGCCGGCCTTGTATACGCCAATAGAGAAATGCATATGCTTGAGAAATAAGATTTAGGCTACCTAATCCTTCGACTAAAGTACGTCATACACTAGAACATACACTGGTTCACTTAATCTAACAAAAATTCTAAAAAACCATTTCTTTTTAATTTGTTTTGTTAGTAATCGATACGTGGACCTGGTGCTTATCCTTACACAAAAAGGTATAAAAAAAGGGCACAAAAATTACCCTCCAAAAGTTAATATATTGGACCGTCTGTGTCATCTAAATTGGATTTGTAACGGATGATGTACACTTAGGGACAAAACGTTCATATAAAATAAATACTTACATCAGAAAGGGTCATAAATTTGTCATTTTTGAACAATGCAACTTTTGGAGTAATGCAATTTACACGGGGGCAAATAGCACGAGGTTAAAGTGTCAATATCAGTGATTTCTCACGAGTGTTGCCATACCATGAAGCGTGAAATATAAACATTTCAAAAAACGAGTAATTAGGTTTTGAACTTTAAATCATCGAGATATAGTATGTGTATAGCCGCGCGATCACGAAGTTCAGTGACTATACGCATAAATTATAGGATAGAACTATGCGAAAAAAAATTCAAATCCGAACGGTTGAGTTTGTTTTTGTAAAAACTCTTTTTCAGTTATATATCTCATCAAATAATATAGTACTTCAACTAGCTGTTAAGTATCATTTCGGGAAACCGTCAGCTACGAGAAAAGTTCAACATGCCAAAATGGCTTTTGATATTACTCTAATAAAGTGTATAAAAATAACGACAAAATTGATACCTAATTTATAGTTTACACGATTAAAGAAACTTGAATACATAAATCAAGACAGAACCAAAAGAGCAGTGATGTCTGACGCTTATCCGCGCAAGACCTAAAACCGTGACACAGTGCATTCTTCGTCGACTTCAACTCCATTTACTAATAGTGACGACCATTTTTTTTAATTAATTTAATTAATGCCAAATGGTTACAAGTTTACAACATATATAATGCATACGTATTGAACATCTTTTAATCCTAGTAAAACGATACATTTAAACAAAAAAATGTAACTCTATCCATCGTGGAGATATATATCAGTATTGAGATATTTTGAGATATTTGTTGTAAAAGGCATATATATATTGAGATATTAATGCGCCTAAAAATTATTCAGTTAGTGTACAATATTAAGCGTTAAATGATTTGTCTCTATGTATGTAGTTGCTGATATTGTGTGATCTGTGTATATACACCAAGCAAAGTTATTATATTTAGTTTCAGTTATCTAAAGATACAGTATGTTGAACGAAATACGTGTTACTAAGTTAAATGCCATGTTAAGTTTTTTTTTTTTTTTTTTTTCAACAGCCTAAGCTCCTAAACCGGTCCGGGAAACGAAGCCGAGAGAACTGAGTTTATGTAGTACACATCATGAGGCTGATCTCGAGCACTCTGTTGTCTGTCTTCGTGTTTTTTGTCATGGGATGTATGATAGGGAGAACGCCTGAAACATTCTTTTGCATTTCTCTACTTCCTCTAGCAATATCGCAAACGCTGGCCACTCTGTAGGTTTGGACACCATTTTCACCATTTGAGCGCAGTCTGTTTGGAAATTCATCCGCCGTTTATTATGGACTAGCATACTTTGCATAGCCCAAATCAGTGCCTCTGGTTCTGTCTGTAGTGGAGAAAGACCCCGCCGGAGATTACTAGACCTAACCAGAATTGTTCCCGAATCCCGATCACAATTGTACCATCCTAGTCTTGTTCGACATTCTGTTGCTTTCCATGCTCCGTCAACCTGACAACACTCCCCCAATGGGTGGGCCTGGGTTGTATAGAGCCATGTTAAGTTATTATCTACGAGTATTTCACATTTTTTTAATTCTAACAGTTTGTTCTTACATCATTAAATAATTACTATAATCTAGCTATTTATATGGTCTTTGCCTGGTATTTCTATAATTAGCAATATTGGTGTGAGTGTGACATGCGCTCACAAGAAAATACAACTCCAAATCGATTGAGCAACTTCTCAAGCTACCTAGAGGCTAGAGCTCCCTATATTCCTCTCTCTGATCTATGTAGAAGTTAAATTAAAATGTATTTCTTTTCTGATTTTATTTGAAGATGGTCGTTAGGATATCACATTTAAACATGTGGAAGAAGACATTGATATCGATATATAGTTGTTCTCAATTTCAATTTATGTGCACAACAGAAAACTATATATAATTAAATAACAGGAGATAACATGTACAATTAACAATGTTAAAAAGTTTGAAGTTTCAAACATATAATGAGAACAATTAATTTTCTTCTAAAACACGTGGAGACTTTATATTTTTGATAAGAACTTTATTTCTTTGAACATTTGAACATGGAATTACTATAAACTAGTAGACAATCATTAAGTTGACTTAAAATAATCGCAAACGAACAAAGCAAGTAACTTCCACAAATCGGTTGTGTATATAAACCCAAGTTCTAGTGCAATGAGATCAAACAAACCAAATTAAAAAAAAAAAAAAAAAATCGAATTCATTATCTCGATCGAACTAGATATAATATATTATATGCAAATATACCGACGACCTTTCGAGACAAAAGCTTGGCAGAATCGAATCTGTCCTGCAGAAAGTATGGTGAAGATTCATCCTGACCAGACAACCTCCGGCGCCGGAGAACAAACAAGTTCGCCGTACTTGACGACGGAGAAAGAGAGTTTCACGATCTGGATGAAATCGTTGGTGTTCAATACAAATGGCTGCACCGTCTTCGATTCCAAAGGAAATATAATTTATCGTGTCGATAATTATAATTCTAAGAGCTGCCGTGAAGTTTATCTCATGAATTTACACGGCCATGTCTTGTTTACCTTACGTAGACAGGTAGAGACACACGTCCCATTTCTATATTTTTTTTACATGCAAGTTCTTTTTTCTTTTTTGCATAACATATTTTATTCACTTTGAAACTAATTAAGTTTTTTTCATTTCTTTTGTTTGGTTTAGAAATTTGGATTATTCAAGACCTGGGAAGGATATAGAACACTATCTGGGACAGATGAATCAGCAACAAACTTGGAATATTTCCGAGTGGAAAATAATATTTTCCAAATACCGAGTAAAGATTCATCTTCTTCCCATAGAGTCTTAACGGGATCATGTAGAAACGACGAACAATACTGTTATAAGATGGTAACTCGGGGATCAAGTTTACGAATCGAGGACAATTGTGGAAGAGTTGTGGCAGAAGTGAAGAGAAAGCAATCGAGGAATGGTTTGGAACTAGGAGAAGATGTTTTGACAATGATGGTGGAGTCACAAGTTGATCACTCTTTCATCATCGGACTTTTTTTAACTCATAGACTTATCAACTGTAAACTGTAATATTAAATGTCTCTTTGCTGTAAATTAGTTTTTGATAAACTTCCGCAAATTTTGTATCGTTGTCTCTAATAAAAGAACAACTATTGTTTTGCACACACACAAAAAAAACACCTATTGTTGCTTAAAAAAAAGAAAAAGAGAGAGATAGTTTCAATAAAGTGAGTGTAAGCTCTCTTTTCGTCATTAGATATTCTGAGAGTTGAAAGATGGAGCCAAATGACAGATTAATAAATTTGACAAGAACTTTATAGTTTAAACTTTAAACTAATGTCACTTGTAAGGTGGAATTTAAGTAAACTTGGTGTAAGCTTTCTTTTCTTCGTTTCAATTTGTACAAGTTGAAAGATGGAGCCAAATGACAAATTAATAATTTTGAGATGAATTTAAAAAAAAAAAAAAAAAAAAAATTACTTGTAAGATATAGTTTCAATAAACTGAGTGTAAGCTTTCTTTTCTTCGTTTAGGTCTGTAAGATAGTTGAAAGATGGAGCTAGACAACAAAATAAATCATTCAAGATGCATTTGATAACTTTATATGTTGGAGGACCCAAATGATTATTTTTTAATAACTAAGTTGAAGCTCATTAAAATATAATTAGTTAAGTACCAGAAAAATTATGAAATTTGATGGGTGAGATTTGATTCGATTCCTAGGAGAAGAAGATCTGCATTGTCCATCTTCGGTAAACACTAAAACGACGCCACACCACATTCTGCACCACATTTCATATTGTAAAGTACTATAGAAGACAGCAGCCCGAAAAGAGGTACAGTATATCTTAAGAAATTTGCTATGTTATTACCTTTCTGTATGATCTTCAAATCAAAGTGAGTAATCAGTTAACATATTCATACACATGTGTATATGTAATGTTACCATATTATATTTCTTTCTTCTATAATGGCTCCAATAATTCCATTTTTTGTTTTTTTTTTTTTTTTTGTCAACAGCAAACACATATATTTATATATATATATATATATATAGTCTTATTCCGGTAGTTTATATGTAATACAGATTGTCTATATGTACCTATATCGTCCTAAACAAGAAAAGGTAAGATTGAAATATGTAATGTTAACATATTAAATTATACATTTGCAATATTTTCGTATTTGTTCGTAAGCAAATAAAGAAATGATTTTTGTTTTTAAAGTAAAATTTTCATTAATCTAATATAATATAATTACCTTTGAATTCCGCATCCTATATTTCCCATTATTTAACGTGAATACACTTACGAAGGAAAAAAAGAACAGAACATTAAGGACGATATGGGGTCGTTCTTCTCTTGTTCATCATCGTCAAGCACAAGGGTGGTAGATTATGACTATCCCCCTGCGTTATACGACTACGAACAAGTTTTCGGAACCTCCTCCGACCAAAGCTATGCGACAAAGCTTCCGCTTAACAGGTTAATCGATCCTAACAGAGGACACGATCCCGTTGCGTTAACGAGGGATCTCCGTTACCAGGAAGCTCTGCCTTCTTCCTGGACCTCTTCCTCATCATCATCATTATCATCATCAAGCACAAGGGTGGTAGATTATGACAACGTCAATGTTTTCGGAACCTCCGACCAAAGCTATGCGACTGCGAGGGATCTCCGTTACCAGGAAGCTCTGCCTTCTTCCTGGACCTCTTCCTCATCATCATCATCATCATCATCAAGCACAAGAGTGGTAGATTATGACTACGCAATGTTTTCGGAACCTCCGACCAAAGCTATGCGACTGTGAGGGATCTCCATCACCAGGAAGCTCTCCCTTCTTCCTGGATCTCTTCATCATCATCATCATCATCATCAAACACAAGGATGTTAGATTATGACTATTCCCCAGCTGAGTTATACTATTACGACCAAGTTTTCGGAACCTCCGACCAAAGCTATGCGACTGTGAATGAGAGGGATCTCCGTTACCAGGAAGCTCTGTCTTCTTCCTTGAAATCTTCTTTAACGGCTGAGGTTAACCATCAACCCCAACTTCAAAGGAATATTGCCACGTGTGTTACTAATAAGCAGGAAGAAGCGGAGATAAAAACCGAGAACGAGAACGATCCGTCTACAAGGTTATGTTATTGCATGATCTGTATGGAGGATAAGCCTTCCTCCGACATCTTCCGAGGAACCACTAACTGCACTCACTCGTACTGCACCGATTGCACCATCCGTTACGTGAAGACCAAGGTAGAAGAAAACATAGGGATGATCAAGTGCCCTGACGTGGAGTGCACGGCTCTGATAGAGCCCTACACGTTACGAGATCTGATCCCAGCGAACGTGTTTGAGCGTTGGGACAAAGCCTTGTGCGAGTCGATGATCCTGTCCTCGGAGAAAGTCTACTGTCCGTTCGAAGACTGCTCGGCGATGCCGGTGGTGGACGACGATGATCAAGGAGGTAATGATGCTAGAGTGACGCAGACGGAGTGTCCGTCTTGTCACAGACTGTTCTGCGCTCAGTGTAAGGTGACGTGGCACGCTGGCGTTGGGTGCGCGGAGTTTCAGAGTTTTGGGAACACGACGAAGAAGAATAAGAGTAGCGATAAAGAAGACGCTATGTTGATTCGCATGGCCAAATCAAAGCAGTGGAGGAGGTGTCCTCGTTGCAAAACGTACGTCGAGAAACGCGATGGGTGTATGCATATACGTTGCAGGTCAGAATTTTTAATCATCATATTATAAATCTTTGGTTATAAATTCCTTACGTATATATTGAATTAGTGATAAAGAGGGACGCGTTATAAAAAGCTAACTTTGGTGTTAATTAATTAATTGGTTATTATTTGCTTGTTCGACTATTTCGTAGGTGTAAATTCGAATTTTGCTATGGTTGTGGATCAGCGTGGACTACTTATCTGGGTTGCCCAGTTTGTTCCAGAAGGCCCCAAATCGTAAGGCGATTTTTCGGGATAGCTTACTAAAATTTGTTTTTTTGATAAGGTAACGTAGTCTATTCACTTAAAAGATTCTATCCCCATTCGATATTTAGTTTAAGGTCATTTTGGGGTCTATCTAAATGCTTTCTTACAATAGAAGAGGTTTTTGCCGTTAAATTTTGTTTTGTCAACATTTGCCGTGAACTTTGATATCTTTGCTTTACTAAAATCCACATTGTCTTCATCAATCCGTGTGACTTTAATCTATACTACTAACCAGTTACATTTGAACTAACTACCTGCAGCAAAAATAATACTACTACCTTTTGAACTAATAAGATCTTCGTAGCATATGATCAATTGATATATTAAAGATAGCAATATCACTTGACGCTATGCCAAATCGGTTGGTTCAGCATTTTGTGGATGGTAGAAGCCGGTATATGCTTATTCTTGGAACTCAACTTGTAGTATACGAATCAGACAAAGCTCTATAGTTTATATCGTAAGATGTTTAACGGAATCCACACCTTGCATGAACGAGTTGGTTAATTTTGAGGTATATCTTCCAATGTTAATCCTTAGTTTTATGGCATGGTGATATTTAATTGAGTTTGAATCGCAATCGCAATGCTCACTGAATCGCAATCGCAATCGCAATCGCAATGCTTGGAACTTAACTTGTAGTATACGAATCAGTTCTTCATTCTTTGAGAATTTTTTTCTTCTGACAAAACTCTATCGTAAGATGTTAACGGAATCCAAACCTTGCTTGAACGAGTTGGTTAATTTTGAGGTATATCTTCCAATGCTAATTCTTATTTTTTATGGCATGGTGATATTTAATTGAGTTTGAATCGCAATCGCAATGCTCACTGAAGTCTAAAGCTTTCATATCTGAACTTTATCTCGGAACCAGCTATCAAAGAAGTAACTACTTCCTTCGAATTTGATTTATTTTGAATTATATAAGTTTTTTTTTTATTGAGTTGCATTGGAGTAATACATTTATGTTTAGGAGACGTTATATGTGACCTTTTCTCATAAATAAGTGAAATGTGAAAGGTTTTTCTTTTCTAGGAACAACCAAAAGGCATTTGACTACACAGTTAAATTGCTTAAGATTTCATATTCCAATGCAAATTAAATCTTCATCAGTTAAACCTATTCCATTAACCAAAAAAACCCTTAGAATTCAACACTCAACGCCATTATTTAACGTCCATCAACCTTATTCAACCTAAGAAAAATAAATAAAAAAAACTAAACAGAATAAGACGAGAAGATGAATGATGGATCCTCATCATCATCATCAAGCAAAAAGATGGACGTTGAAGTGTTAGTAGATGAATCCTACTTCTCTGCTTTATTCGACTACGATGAAGTTTTCCCAATCTCCGACGAACACTACGCGACGGAGCTTCATCTCCAAGAAGCTCTCTTCTCTTCCTTAATTCCAACGGTGGAGATTCATCAACACCGTCTCCAACTCCAAAGGAACGTCACCACCACGTTGGTCAAGCAGGAACCAGTTGAGGTCAAAATCGAGAACGAATCCTCCGAGGCATCCAGAAGGCTATGCATGATCTGCATGGACGAAAAACCTATCTCCGACATCTTCAGAGGAACTACCACCTGCAATCACTCGTACTGCACCGAGTGCACCATCCGTTACGTGGCGACCAAGATCAAAGAAAACTCGTCGAGGATCAAATGCCCTGACGTGGAGTGCACGCGACTGATGGAGCCGTACACGTTTCGAGATCTGATCCCTAAGGACGTGTTCGATCGCTGGGAGAAAATCTTGTGCGAGTCGTTGATCTCGTCGTGGGACAAGTTCTACTGTCCGTTCAAAGATTGCTCGGCGATGATGGTGGGTGATGGAAGCAATGCTAACGTGACGCAGACGGAGTGTCCTTCTTGTCACCGGCTCTTCTGCGTGCAGTGTAAGGTGACGTGGCATGCGGGGGTTGGCTGTGAGGAGTTCCAGAGGTTTGGGAACACGAAGAAGAAGATTAGCGATGAAGGAGATGCTATGCTGATTCAGATGGCGAAGAATAAGCATTGGAGGAGGTGCCCTAGTTGCAAGTTCTACGTCGAGAAAAGAGATGGCTGTGTGCATATAAGTTGCAGGTTAGTGTCGACTTTGTTAGTGATTGTTATTACAGATCATTTTGGTAGGAAGCTTTTATTAAATACTAACGTTTTATATTTATTTGTTATTCGTATGGTTTTTGTAGGTGTGGATTTCAGTTTTGCTATGGTTGTGGATTGGCGTGGGTTTCTCATCACGTTCCTCAAACCTAATTCGAGGCCAATCGATGCCTAATTCGATTAATTTATCTGTGTGTTTTTTTTTTTTTTTTTAAGTATCACCGCAATATTGTTACTCAAATGTTAGAGAGATGGCTACATTTGATTTTCTGCTATTTGAATAAAAAATGTTCTCGAGTATTTTCCCGTTGAACTCAATATAAGTTTTGTTTGTCAGATTTACAATCGCAATGATAGGTTTTTCATATTTACAACCTCAGATTGCGATGTCCTTAATTTTGTTAGAGGAACAGTGTGTAACGTAGCTTGGTTTCCAAAATATCGTCCTTTTTGTACAATTGTACATCAGTTCTTATGTTTTTTTTTAACTAAAGCTGTAACGGTGGATAGTAGAAATTCAATTACCAGCATCTACACATGAAACTCTCAAGCTCATTTCGTAGTATCATAAAAGAAATTTGATAACGATGCTACTATTTTGTCATGGGTTTGTAAAATGATATGTTGTGAAAAGTATTAAGAAATCTAGATACTGAAGCCAAATCAGAAAATTGATACAGCTGCTATTGCATAAATTGTCTGGAGGCCCATGACTTTTTTTGGAAACTGGATTTGTGCTCGTTTAGCGCCCATCAATAGAGTTTGCAAAAGTAAAGTCTACATCGAACATAATTTTTTCCCAGTGAAATTAAATATTTATGTTCTAGTTAGAAAGGTAAAGTGAAAAAGAAGATTATAATAAGAGCAAGAGGTCCAATATGTCCCGCTTTAGAGAGGTACCCACTCATTACTAGACTTCCTCCATAGTCAATAATTCCATGTGAAATAATTTAGAAGTAGTTTCATTTATTTAAAATGGTCAATAATTTAATTGATTTAAATTTTAAACGGAAACTAGGATATTCGCCTGTATATAAAATAAATTATACGGTGGACCTACTTATTGTCAGTATCAAGTATCAACCCACAAATACAGTTGAATGGGTACATTTTTTTTTGTTAAATTCTATTTTCGTTTCATTATAGACTTTGTATTATTTTATATGGTAAGCAAAAAAAGAAAATAAAAAACAGCAGAAACGAACAAAAACACGTGAACACACTTCTTTTGGCCTCTTGGTTAACTATAATGCGTTAGAATATACTGTATATAGTAAAAAAAAAAAATGGCTCAATAATACAACAAACATCGACCTACTCAGGTGAACTTCTGTATGTAACTCGTATTTATTGTTCTTCCAATCCTAACCAACATTTGACAAAAAATAACATCACAAAATGCCTTATCCTTATTTTGATTAATTAAAGTTAAAAGTAATCTTTGCACGGGCGATTCAAACACGTGTCGGACAAACACGGGACCCACATCAAATCCTCCGGTTCCGATGACGTGTATAATCTTAGCTCTGTGTTTATACTTTTTAGGCTTTGAACTTCGAATCATTCAAAAATTTCTTTAAAGATGGTAATAATCCAGAAATATCCCAACTTCATCTGTGGACATGATAAAACTAAAAATCCCGTGAACGACACATATGAATATGTCACCTGAAACATAACTGCAAACAAACGAGTACATCAAAAACTGATTTGTGTTCGTTCATTACTTTACAGTCTTTACTTCACTCATATATTTTCTTCTTTTTGAAAAGTAAAAGGGTGTTTTCGTAATAAGGAAAGCAAAAGAGACAATAGAGTCAGTGGCACAATTTCTTCTGCTTGCTTGCTCTGTACACACTACACAAGTCTAGTAGTTTTCCTCTCTTTCTCCGCTTCCACCCAAAATATCAAGCAGAGCAATGTGGTACCCTCATCATCAATCTCCTCCTTCTTCTTCTTCCTTCACTCACTAACCAAATCTACAATCAACAAATCAAAACAAAAAGTTGATAACTTTTCTCCGTCAATGGCTTTCTTCTTCTTCCTCTTCCTCTTGACTCTTCTCTCACCTTCTTCTTCTTCCTCTTTACATGACTTAAACCCATTGACTTACATCGTCCACGTAGACCACGAAGCCAAACCCTCAATCTTCCCCACTCACCGTCACTGGTACACATCCTCTCTTTCCTCACTCACATCCACTCCTCCTTCCATCATCCACACATACGACACCGTTTTCCACGGCTTCTCCGCTAGGCTCACCGCTCAAGACGCTCGTCAGCTCTTGGAACACCCTCATGTCATCTCTATTATCCCCGAGCAAGTCCGTCACTTGCACACCACCCGCTCCCCGGAGTTTCTCGGCCTCAGGTCCACCGACAAAGCGGGTCTCCTCGAGGAGTCCGATTTCGGGTCGGATCTTGTTATCGGAGTCATCGACACCGGTATTTGGCCCGAAAGGCCTAGCTTCGACGACCGTGGTCTTGGTCCTGTTCCCACTAAATGGAAAGGCCAATGTGTAGCTTCAGAAGATTTTCCGGCGTCGGCTTGTAACCGGAAACTCGTCGGAGCGAGATTCTTCTGCGGCGGGTATGAAGCAACCAACGGAAAGATGAACGAAACGACGGAGTTTCGCTCCCCGCGTGACTCCGACGGACATGGGACACACACCGCCTCGATCTCCGCCGGCCGATACGTTTTTCCGGCCTCCACGCTCGGCTACGCTCGCGGCGTCGCTTCCGGGATGGCTCCGAAGGCTAGACTCGCCGCCTACAAAGTCTGTTGGAACTCCGGCTGCTACGACTCCGATATCTTAGCCGCTTTCGACACAGCAGTTGCCGACGGAGTCGACGTCGTCTCACTCTCCGTCGGAGGCGTCGTGGTTCCTTATTACCTCGACGCCATCGCCATTGGAGCTTTCGGAGCAATCGACAGGGGGATATTCGTCTCCGCCTCCGCCGGTAACGGAGGTCCCGGTGCTTTAACGGTGACGAACGTTGCTCCGTGGATGACAACAGTCGGAGCCGGAACAATCGACCGCGATTTCCCCGCCAATGTGAAGCTCGGCAACGGAAAAACGATTCCCGGTGTAAGCGTTTACGGTGGACCGGATCTGGATCCGAATCGGATGTATCCGCTTGTATACGGCGGTAGCTTGCTCGGCGGCGACGGTTACTCTTCCTCTCTGTGTATCGAAGGCTCGTTGGATCCGAATCTGGTGAAGGGCAAAATCGTTCTCTGCGACAGAGGAATCAATTCCAGGGCAACAAAAGGGGAAATCGTAAGGAAAAACGGGGGCTTGGGGATGATAATAGCCAACGGTGTCTTCGACGGCGAGGGTTTAGTCGCCGATTGCCACGTGTTACCCGCGACGTCGGTTGGAGCCTCCGGAGGAGACGAAATCAGGAGGTATATCTCCGAGACATCCAAATCGCATTCGTCCAAACAACCAACGGCCACGATCGTTTTCAAAGGGACCCGAATCGGGATCCGACCCGCACCCGTCGTTGCATCATTCTCCGCTCGTGGGCCTAATCCAGAGACACCGGATATTCTTAAACCGGATGTAATCGCACCCGGTTTAAACATTCTCGCCGCTTGGCCTGACCGGATCGGTCCGTCAGGTGTTGCTTCCGATACCCGGAGAACGGAGTTCAACATTTTGTCAGGCACTTCGATGGCTTGCCCGCACGTGTCGGGTCTTGCCGCTCTGCTCAAGGCGGCTCATCCGGAGTGGAGCCCGGCGGCGATAAGATCCGCATTGATGACGACGGCTTACACGGTCGATAACCGTGACGAGACAATGCTGGATGAGTCCACGGGTAATACATCGTCGGTTATGGATTACGGGTCGGGTCATGTTCACCCGACCAGAGCTATGGATCCGGGATTGGTCTACGATATCACATCTTACGATTACATCAATTTCTTGTGTAATTCGAATTACACGGGGACCAACATTGTGACGATAACTCGCCGGAAAGCGGACTGCGACGGAGCGAGACGCGCTGGACACGTCGGGAATTTGAATTACCCGTCATTCTCCGTCGTGTTTCAGCAGTACGGTGAGAGTAAAATGTCGACGCATTTCCTCAGAACCGTGACGAATGTCGGCGAGCCGGATTCGGTGTATGATATTAAGATTACGCCGCCGAGAGGGACGACGGTGACGGTGAAGCCGGAGAAGCTGTCGTTTAGACGGGTCGGACAGAAACTGAATTTTATGGTTAGGGTTAAGACGACGGAGGTGAAACTGTCACCGGGAGCGACGAGTGTAGAGACTGGTTATGTAGTTTGGTCAGACGGGAAACGAAATGTGACAAGTCCCTTGGTGGTTACTCTTCAACAACCTCTTTGAAGCGGTTTTAGGATTTGGAGACAGGAACAAATTTTCTGGTCTCTTTTTAATATTTATGAATGAAAAAGAAAGATCATATAACTTGTTGTTGTTATTGTCTTTAATGTCTATGATCTTTGTTGGAGGTGTTTCTGTAATGTAAAATGTGTCTCTTTTGTTGGTAAGATACATAATCTAAAGAATGTCCCATTTTTGTAGAGAAACCAATAAGCCGAAAATATCATTCATTTGTGATGTGGGCTTTTAATGAGGCTTGTAAAGCTTAAAGCTAGAAGCCCACATATCTTTCATTATTCATTTTACATTTTTACTACTTGGGTTGAGTTACAATTCGCATCCTACATGCAATCATCAGTACAGTAATCAACTAATCATCTTCCTTTTGTTTTGTCGTTTTACTTGAATTATAGAATCATTCGTGCAATGGACGTGTGTTGACTGTAGCCTAAAATAGAAGATACGTGCAATGCAAGTGTGTTGGTTTGTGACTGTGTGTAATTTTACTGCTGTTAGTGGCAGACATCAAGATTAAAAGATAATTAAAGACTTACAGTTGAGACTGAAATATTCGCCCGGGAGCTTTCTAGATTTTACAGCATCTAAAGTAAATGCAGATCACCTACCAGTCAAAAAAGATCCAAATAGGTTCATTACTTTCTTCATAGAATAAATTAATATGCGCGTTTAATTCCTTTTTTATACCTATAGTACAAAATTAATTTCGTTATTTGAGAGCGTATAATTTCTTCATGCAATAATGAAACAAAAATAATTGCAGGATACGGATGGGTAGCTTTCAAACGTTACATCATGTTCTGTTTCTTGAGATCAGCTATTTTATGAGCTTTGTCTCAATCGAACCAAAAGAAAATGGTCCTACCTCCTTTTGCATTTTTGACTTTATCTTGTATATTTATTTTTGCTGGTATAACTTTATCTTGTACTAAATTAATTTACAGCATACGTATGCTGATATTATCCATCTTCAGTTGTCCCGAATATAATTCTGAGAAACATAACATAAAAACGAAATTTGATAGATACTGAGCCCGAAATTTGTATCAAGTCAAACTGTAAAACACTAAACTGATATGGAATTATCTTTTAAGTTCAATGTGTTACTGTGAAGATGCGCGTCACAAGGTGGGACCGGGACAACGCAAAGCCTTGTCGTAAGTCCACTTGCTCAACTTGTCTTTCTTTTATCTCTTTTCAAGTCTCAAGGAACTTCGTGTAAGACAAACGCACATATATACGTGATCTCATTTGGAAAATATTTACAAATTTGGCCTCTCCACGATAATTTCATCTTGGGATGGGGTTCATTTATATCGATTCGTCAAGATAGTATGAAAGTCCAACAAATCTCATCGACTCCTAGCATATGATTGATTGATTACTTCCTTCAAAGTTGACAACTATATATGCGGGTATACATATGGCTATGAACGGATGGTTTTGTTAGTGTAAAAGAATAAGTGTAAAAACTTTTTCTATACATTAATCTCAATTTCTCTATTATCCACCAATCAAATTTTAACCTGATGAATACTCCCTCTTTTTTTTTTTAAGATGAATTTTCTAGTTTTTTTACAACTATGAAGAAAAAGTTACTTTTCAATCATAATTGTATTGATTTTTGCAATTACAATATTTTCTATAACTTTAAACCAATAAAAATCTAAAAAATGTAATTATTGCTTCTTGAAATTTGAAAAAGTGAATCAAAAAGCTAAAAAATCTATATCTATAAAACAACAGAAAATTGCTAGAAAATTCATCATAAAAAAACAGAGGGAGTATGATTCTGTCTAATAATAGCTTTATTTAAAACTTCACTTTTTCATAGATCTCAATATTTTTCTCTCTTTTGTCTTTCTTCCATTCTAATATAATTTCTTTCCGCCTAATTATTTTTTCTCAATTATTATAAGTTACACTACTGTATACCATTCATATCCATAATCAAGATTATAAACATACAATACAATACACCTATGTATACGTGTATAACTTGTTTAAGAAAAATGCATATGTATCCCTAATATATTAAAAGAGAAAACACTATAAAATAAACCTTTGTCTCATGTGTTATTAACAGAAATGCATGCTGATGTGTCAACACCAGGTTCACTTTCAAGGTTAGTTTTAATTAAGACAAACATTACTAGACTAATTACATGTTATGCCATTCATATTTGGTTAGAGAATGAAATATATATGATTAATTTAGTCAGAAAAATAATTATTAATGAAAATTATTTTCTTTCAGTTTCCTTATTTGGTAATGACGAAAATTTATTTATTAGTCAATCAATCAGTAAAATATGGAAAGTTTTATTCAATTGTATTATATTAATTGTTTAAAAATTAATTTATTCATCTATCATTTTTGTTTAGCTTTACTTTCAAGAATAAATTATATCATCACATCAAAATATTTAAAAAAAGAAAATTAGTTTTTTTCTACATATGCTATGGTTTGAATTTTTAAAAATGAAGCAAATCTCTAAAAATGTTAAATGTCCCACATGATTATATTTTGGGATAATAGTTCAAAAACCTATTATAAAATAGGATCCAAATAATGATCAACCATAATCACAAATAGGAAAGAAAAATTTACCATGTTTGGAAATCTTTAAAATTTCTTTTATTCGATTTAATTTGATTCTTTAATTGAATTAAATAATTAAATCGTATTTTTAATATTTTGGTTTGATCAAAATTTTAAACGTTAATTAAAATTGATAAAAACATAAAATATATATGCCATTTTATATTTATCAAAATATAAAATTATTTTAAATGTATTAAAATTTAATATATATGTGGGTTCGGAAAGGGAGAAACTGTTGTTAAAGCAAATGTTAGATTACCACACTGTAAACGATGACAAAAATCAAACCAGGCTAAAAAAATATGCATCACTCAAAATTTCGTCTAATGTAAATTGACATTTTTTTAATTGTCTAACACTTATGTTCCTAAAATTGTATGTAAATAGACATCTTTTAATAAAATCAAATTGAGAAAATATCACCCGTGCAAGGCGCGAAACTCTAGTACATAGATAAAACTTAACAAAACAGATGATAATAAATTCGATGACGAACAAAAAAATTATGTGGGAATAACTTGTGGGGAACTTGTGTGTGTGTGTGCCTCATGCCTGCACCTAATATTTTATAAAAAGTTCATGGCCACCTTTATTTACCGTGGCACATGTTACACGGTTACACTTTGACGTCTCTTCAGAAGTTTTCTTGAAGATTCTAGGATAATTTGTTTTCCGTTTTACCCTTACCTTCACACTCAATGAGCGCAAATTATTTTTAATTTTTTTACAAAATATTTCATTCTGCATGTCGCATGACGTGGGTTATTACCTAGTTCTTAGTAAAATTTATGCTATAACCATTCAAATGTAGATGCTACTAGCAGATAACTAGATATATGTTAATGCTAAGAAATTGCTCCAATAAGTGTGTAGTCTTTTTGTATGTTTGTCACCAAATGCGTAGTCTATATTCATCATTTTCCAGTACTAACGGAGTGTTTATGTTTCACTATTTGATTGAAATATAATGTCGGTTGGTTCATTTGGATCTTCATCATCACTTCCTATTGTTAAACTTGTTATAATTAACGAAGGAGTGAGATTACCTTTTGTAACTTGACCACAAAGACCACGTCCACTTAAGGCAAAGGCCGCAAAACATCATGGTTTCTATCATCAGACAATCGAAAAAGATAAATGACTTTATCAAAAAAAGAAAAAGATAAATGACTTATATCACTAGTAGACACTCAAACTTTATTTTTCAACGAAAACACAAACTGTTTAGCTCAATAGGTTTTCTTATGTTAAATTATAACATCAAATGTATTTATTCGCTCGTATGATATATTTCATATTACTTTTCGTAAGTTTCATGAAAGTTTTCAACGACTTATCACATCAAATTGAAAAATATACTGGTCGATCAGAAAATTATACTTTAGGGAAAAATGTTTGGTAACTACTCTGCATTCGTAAAGACAGTCAAAGATGCAAAATAAAATAAAATGTTATTGTGATGCAACTTACCATATTTTAACTTTTATAAACAACACTTTTAATGATAAAATGTCACTCTATTTAATCAACAATAACAAAACACAGATTTTTAACTGATTATATCTTCCTATTTACATCATCTATTGATAAAAAAGCAACTAACTATTCTTCTTTTTATAAGAGAAAATATTAAGAATCACATATTTTCATTCATGATTATCTTCCATATATACAATAATTACATCAGTAGAATCCACACAAACTTTGATTGAGAAAATGAATCTACACAATCTAAAAAATTTATAAGCTATAGATTGTATATTTGATTGACCAACCTAAAACATGTGAAATTAGTCAAATTACCTTAACTTATAAAGATAAATGCATTTACTCACAATGGCAGAATTGTAGAACGACTCATAAGTAAGGGTATAATAATAAATAATCAAACTATATAATATACGACGCACCATCCACTCTAACTTTCTGGTGAGCAACAAAAAGAAACCATATAGCAAAGAGAGAAAAAGGAAAATAAAAAAGAGAACCCCAAAGAAGCTAATATTTATCATTTCGCCGCAAAGTTTCTATTTCTAAGCATATAACACCCCGAAAGAGTAGCGATTTCGTGAAAGCCGCCATGTGTGGAGGTGCTATAATCTCCGATTTCATTCCGCCGCCGAGGTCCCGCCGCGTCACGAGCGAGTTTCTGTGGCCGGATCTGAAAAACAAGGGGAAAGCTTCGAAGAAGATATGGAAGAAGCGACCCGATTTCTTCGATCTGGACGATGAATTCGAAGCTGATTTCCAAGGGTTTAAGGAGGACGACTCATCATTTGACTGCGAAGACGATATCGATGTCTTCGCCAACGTGAAGCCCTTCGTCTTCACCGCAGCTACCAACCCCATAGCTTCCCCTGCCGCCGGCTTCGCCTCCACTGGTATATATATCTGAGCTCGATTCAAATATTTCTCTCCTATGCTCACTGTTCAGATTCATTGATTATCATTTCCAATAGTAAAGATTAGATTTTTTTGCGTTATGATTGTCTTAAATTTAGTTTCTGGATCTTAATTATGGTGTTCGTCTTCATATTCCTTATTAGTTTCTCTTTCCATGGACCATGGTTGTAGCTCAACAGAGAATATTCCACCCAAAAAGTAAAGATCATAACTTTTTAATGTTTCTGAGGAAAGGATCAAGCTTTTTACATGATTATTGCCTTATTTTATATCTAGAAAAATTGAGAATTTCCTAAATATTGACCTTTTTTATATGTTCATTGAAAAATTCATGTAATGTTTGAGATCTTCTGGATCTTGACTTTTTTTTACCGTTAATTGTTGTTTGAAGTCTTTGAAAAATCATTGCTTTCATCTGCTGTCACTATGTTGATGGTTTATTGCTTTGTGGGATAAAAAGGTCTGGTGTTGAACCTATGTCGTTTCACAATTGATATTGTGTGCTTTTGATTCTTATAGGTTCAGTTTCTGGTAAGAAAACGGTAGAGTCTAATGGGGAAGCTGCTAAAAGGAAGAGGAAGAATCAGTACAGAGGGATTAGGCAGCGACCTTGGGGCAAATGGGCTGCTGAGATCCGTGATCCGAGAAAAGGCTCCCGAGAATGGCTTGGAACGTTCGACACCGCCGAGGAAGCAGCGAGAGCTTACGATGCAGCTGCACGCAGAATCCGTGGCAGTAAAGCTAAGGTGAATTTCCCAGAGGAGAAGAGCCCTAGCGTCGTCTCCAAGAAACGCCCTACCGCTAAGACCAGTAACCTTCAGAAGCCAGTGGCTCCAACTTTTGTTCAGCCGCCGCAACCAACACATGTGAGTTTCAACTCCTTGGACAACATTGGACATGACTCCTTTGGTGATATGAGTTTCATGACGGAAGAGAAGCCTCAGATGTACAACAATCAGTTTGGAGGCAACAATGGATACCAGTATTTCAGTTCCGATCAGGGTAGTAACTCGTTCGACTGCTCTGAGTTTGGGTGGAGCGATCACGGCCCTAAAACACCAGAGATCTCTTCAATGCTAGTAAACAGTAACCAAGCACCGTTCATCGAAGAGACCAATGCAGCCAAGAAGCTCAAACCCAACTCCGAGGATGATGATCTGATGGCATACCTTGACAACCCCTTGTGGGACTCTCCATTGGAAGTGGAAGCTATGCTCGGTGCAGATACTCAGGAAGAGGAAAATCCAATGGACCTATGGAGTTTAGATGAGATCAATTCCATGCTGGAAGGAGTCTTCTGAAGTGACTGATGGCTCCTTACTTTGTATATAAAGCTTTGTGTTGGTGAGTTTCAATCCCTTGTGACCAATTGTTAAGCCAAACAACCTTGCTATTATTGGTTTCCTAATCTTGTGGCTGTTTGTGTTTTTGTTTTTGTTTTTGTTGTCTCACAGGATTTTGCTGTTGGGGGATGGTACAAGTCACACATGAAGCTTGTTGCATTGGTATTTTGTGAACCTCTCTCTTCCAAACAGAGGGTTCTCTTTAAGTTTTCTTAAATAAAAAGGTGTGATGAAGTAAATAGAGATATAATAATGTCTATCTAATGAGTAATGACTCCTCTTCCTTCATTTTTGTCTCTCTTTGTATTTTTGTTTGTTTTTAAGACAGTTATTAATCTTCTGAGCTCTCTTTTTTGACCTTTTCATCATCACCCTCGAATGTGTTCTGTTTTTGTACCCTCAAACTTATTTAACATTATAAGAAAAGCTATTTGGAACATCTGTTTGTTTTATGAATCTTCTCTACCTTGAATAACTTTTCTTAATTGATAATTTGATATTGAGTGAGATATACCTCGAAAGCAGCAAAGAAAGTGAGCCACTTGTTTTATGGTGCGATGCTAATGTTTTAAACACATAAAAATGTGAAAAAAGGACAAAGAGGAAATGGGGTTTCTGCTCTGGTTAAATAATACACAGAATTGAGATATTCTTGTAAACTTTCTCGTGAAGCTTTTGAGGAAAGACACCCAAGTTGCTGACAAGAGAATTATAAAAATGCATACAAATTATTCTCTAGGGCGCTAGCTAGGGCTGTGTAGAAAAAAGTTTCAGTGTATGTATGATCGACGAGACTGCGGCTGATCCTCAAACATTTTTTTGTTTAACATTTTCTTTTCTTTTTCCAAATTTTAGATCTTCAATATGATTGTCGACAAAAAAACAAAAACAGTACACACATATATATATATATATATATATCACTTTGATGAACTTAGGACTCTAGTGATTAGAATCGTTTGCCTTGAATAAGGTAATTATTCTATTCTCATTAGTCATTTAGAAGCACATTTCTAAATCATGTTTTTTTTTTTCCTAGATAGCCTTGACAACACCTATATAAACACAGGTGATGTTCTACACTTCTACTGTCACACATTTTCTATAAAATGAATTAGTTTAAAAACTATGATAGGTTCATATGGCAAACATTTAGCGAATTGTTTCGATATTTTAATTAATTAATTCAAGGATCGAAATTGATGACTAAATGACTCAACGTGGTGCAATGATTTACTATCACCTATACAATTAAAAATTCGTTGAACAATAAAGAAAAGAGACAATTACAAAGATGAAAAGATTTGCATTTGATTTGCAATTCGTTTTCTATGATTAAACTAATCAGTTCACATGATGACAATAAACTTGTCCATTGACCAGCCGTCCCGTGAAAGACAAGAAACTAAAAAATATAGCTTTACATTCAGTTATTAGCATATTTTTATATGAAGTTTGACTGACTAACTCAACTCTATTATTGTTTAATATAGTTCCCTCCCATACTTGTATAATCAAAGTTTAGACTAATCAAAGACGAAATCTTTAATTTAGTTTTGGAAAATCAAAAGCGGAAATTGTCCAGAATCGTTTGCGATTATTTATTTAATTATTTTTCTAGCTAGGTTTGACTCACTATCACCTATATAATCACAGGCGTTGTTCTACTTATATATCACACACATTTTTAATAAAAAAAAAAAAAAAATCATAGCTAAAAAATACGATTCATATGGCAAACATTCAGCAATTTAATCCGATATCCTTACTCTTTCCGACTATAATTTTATCGATCAATTTAGTAAGCAGTGAAATAACGAACCAAGCAGCATTGTTTGTGTTTGGAGACTCAGTGTTCGACGTTGGCAACAACAATTACATCAACACATTCCGAGCTGCTCAGGCCAATGTCTGGCCGTACGGTCAAACCACGTTCAACTTCCCGACCGGTAGAAACTCCGACGGTCGTTTGATTCCAGACTTTATCGGTAATATAAAAAACACATTCATTAAAAAAAAAAAAAGATAAATATAAAAAACACGTCTCTTAATTAAATCTTGAATGTGTCTAAGTCTTCATTTAATCTGATGAATTACAATTTTCCTGATGGGAATTTTTTGTGATTGAATGCAGCGGAATACGCTTGGTTACCGTTAATACCTCCTTATCTTATGCCCGGAAACAGTATAAGTCAGTTTACGTACGGCGTTAATTTTGCTTCCGCCGGCGCTGGAGCGTTGGTTGAAACATATCAACCACAGGTGATTAATTAATTATCATATTTCTTTAACAATATTTGCATACAAATTAACTAGGAATTATATAAATGCTTTTTCTTTGTTTTCCAAGATATGTTAAGTGTTTATCTAAAAGGTTTTGAACATTTTTGTCTTTGTTCTCTTTAAATAGAACGTGGTTCCATTGGGAAGTCAGTTAACAAACTTCAAGAATGTGGAGAAGATGTTTAAAGAGAAATTAGGAGATGCAGAGACCAAAAGGATCATCTCGAGAGCTGTTTATCTCATTCAGATCGGTCCTAACGACTATTTTTATCCCTTCTCCGTTAACGCCTCCTATTTTCAGTCCAATAGCAAAGACAAATTCGTCGATTATGTTATCGGTAACACCACAAATGTGATCGAGGTATTTATATATATGGACTTACTAATTCGATACAAAACACTTTTTCTTTTTTTTAATATCTGATATGTTGGAATATCACATTGGTAACAAAAGTGTTTATCGCACATTATATATACCAAGATCGATGTAGTAAGTTACGTATTTATCATAATTTGATAACATTTGTTGTATTCTTTGCAGGGGATTTATAACATTGGAGGAAGGAAGTTTGGGATTATGAACATGGGTCGACTCGACTGTGTTCCTGGATTGCTAACAATGGATCCAACAAGAATAGGATCATGTTTCGAACCCATTACCGAGTTGATAAAACTCCACAACGTAAGAATTCCAAATGTTTTGAGAGATTTACAACGTCGATTACCCGGATTCAAATACTCCCTTTTCGACTCATACACTGCTGGAACCGAAGCTATGGAGAATCCTACAAAATACGGTACCAAGCTATATACGATCGAGGCTCAAATATAATGCATAATGTTATATATAATGTGATTCTTTTTGTTGGTAAAATAGGGTTTAAGGAAGTGAAGAAGGCTTGTTGTGGAAGTGGACCGTTCAGGGGAAGCAGTACGTGTGGCTACCGATCAGGAGCGTCGCGTGATTTCGAGTTATGTGAAAACGTTAGTGACTATATGTTCTTCGATGGCTCACACACTTCTGAGAAGGCTAACCAGCAGACCGCCGAGTTGATGTGGGACGGTCCGTCTGATCTCGTTGGACCCTACAATCTCAAGAATTTGTTTCAAGACTTTAATTAATGAATGATCTATCACTGAATCCATAATATATGATCATGTACGTTTGTGTTGCGATCGACAATAAAATATGATGGTTGTATGGAAATAATTTGAACATATACATAGTAAATTTGAAAATCGATATCAACTTTTATACTACACACAATTTCATTAAAAATGATACAAGCCGTTTGAGATTGACATTTGGATAGTTTTCATTTTGGTCAAGTCAAGGCTGTCAAGCTACACACAACAATAAAAACAGACTTCTTTGATTTTCAAATTTCAACCCTTTATGGCTTTATCAATAAAACGGGCCGTTGGGCCAATATGTAAAGCCCGTTATATATTAGCTTGGCGTCTTATTTGTTGCAAATCAGTGCCGTCATGACTGACTCAAGACGATTATGATTCTAGAATGCAGCTGCTAAGCCACCGTTTTATACTATTCCAGAAGAAATATCGTAGATTTTGAGTAAATACATCAACACCGGTCAAATATTTCGAATAATTTATCACATCACAATTTTAGGTTTAGCACCACACAGCTTTTAAGTTTTAACAAATCTTACGTTCAGTATCTTGGCCAATGGAAGAAGTACACACAATCCACATTAGATCTTGACCACACTTTCTTCCTTCAAGACTAATAGTACCACCGTTGCGTTTTCTCTAATCTACCTACAAATCAAACATAAACGGCACGTTTTGAACGTAAACGTTTCTTCAACAATTTGAATATACTTTTGGGGTTTTTCAAGATCAAATGTTCTTTTTTCTTGGTCAAATTTCAAGACCAGGTAAGCTAATACTATAATAATAGCATAAGACGCAAGGCAACTGAAATAAAATAAAATAAATACATGTTTATTAAAATACTAATTAGGCCGTTAGAAGTGACCTATACTATTATCCATTATTGAGGCTGTCTTCGTCAAACTCCGCAGCCATATACAAAATGTAACAATCAATCGTGTCCTTGATGTAATCTATTTTCAAAGTCGTACACCTGTAAATTTATGATTACAAAGAAAAACCAAAAGCAACTTGATCACTTTACATTTTAAGAGAATAATAATATTAAAATAAACCAAACACATGTATATATACATACAACGAACCAAATAATATTGTATAGGAAGAAGAAGAAGAAGAGACAGCAAAACAAAAATGGCAAGTTCTGGATTAAGTTCGATGATCATCATCTTATTCATCTGCACAATAAGCTTGGTTTCTTGCAAAGACAACCTCGTAACAACCCAAGCCGCCTTGTACGTGTTCGGCGATTCTCTGTTCGAAGCCGGAAACAACAATTACTTCGATTCTCTCCCAAGTTTCCGTTCAAACTACTGGCCGTACGGTAAAACAACGTTCAAGTTCCCGACTGGAAGAGTTTCCGATGGACGGACAATGGTCGATTTCATCGGTAAACCATTAAATTAATTATAATTTTTTTTTCCGTTTTTTTTTAAAAGTTTTTTTAAAGGATAGTATTATCTGACGTGGCAGCTGAGAACGCTTGGTTACCGTTGACCCCGCCAAATCTACAACCTGGTTACAGTAACAGTCAATTAACCTACGGACTTAACTTCGCCACTACAGCCGCCGGAGTTCTCGCCGCAACGTTTCCCGGAGTGGTAATTAATTAATCTCTACAACAGAAAACAACAAAGACTCAATTTTCTATGTTTTGACTAAATTTCGTTGACTTCTTGACTTTTCTTTTTATTTTGGTTTCATCTTAGTCGAGAGATTTGGGAACACAGCTGAACAGCTTCAAGAACGTGACGGAAGTGTTGAGATCAGAATTAGGAAATGCAGAGGCGAGAAGAGTGATCTCAAAAGCTGTTTATCTTTTCCACATCGGAGCTAATGACTATCAGTACCCTTTCTTTGCAAACACGTCAACTTTTAGTATCACTACCAAAGAGAAATTCGTCGATTACGTCATTGGTAACACAACCAACGTCATCGAGGTATATAACCGATTTTGATAACTCAAACTTTATAACAAAATAAATCATTTGTGCTTGTTCTTAACATTCATACAAAGAAAAAAGATTTATAACAAAAGCAGAGAGTAATATTGGAATCTTTGTTTCTGAAAATAATGTTGAAATATTTTCTTTCAGGAATTGTATAAATTCGGAGCAAGAAAATTCGGATTCTTGAGCTTGGGGCCGTTCGGTTGCACACCGAGCATGTCGATAACAGACCCAACAAAGTTAGGATCATGTTTCGAGCCGGTCTCGGAGCTGATCAATCTCCACAACCAAGAGTTCCCAAAAGTCTTGAGACGTCTAGAGCGGGAGCTATCCGGATTCAAATACTCTCTCCACGACTTCCACACTTCTCTGCTCCAAAGAATCAACAGTCCTTCTCGATACGGTTTCAAGCAAGGCAAGACCGCATGTTGCGGGAGCGGACCTCTGAGGGGAGTCAACACGTGTGGATTCCGATTCGGACCTTCGCAAGGTTACGAGCTATGCGAAAACGTCGAAGATCACGTCTTCTTTGATCCAGCTCACTTGACGGAGAAGGCTCACGGACAGATCGCCGAGCTGATTTGGAGCGGACCGCCTAGTGTCACTGCGCCTTACAACCTCAAAACTTTGTTTGGTCTCTAGTTGTGTTTTTTTTATTCAATGTAAACGCTTTTGTTTTTCTGTTTATTTATTATTCCCCATTTCCGCTATTGTATGGAGTACGAGTGTTACAGCATTATAAGAACAAGAACAAGAACCATTAATTTATTTCACAAAGAAACAAAAAAAACTATGTTGAGTTTCTAGATTCCTTGCGCCGGAAGATTAGTAACAGATTTACCAACAAGATTCTTTACGCTAATCGGATAGACCACACTTTTGTTATCACTGGAATAGAAGAGATTAGCGATATCTTGATTAGTTATCTCCGTGTTGTGACGCCCGTCGAAGAACCAGAAACGATTTTGGATCACTGCTGAGATTCCAAGGCACGTCGCTATAACCGCATCCGGACGCATTTCTCGATCCAGTACCACAGCATGAGGTCGTCGTATCACTATATCCTAAGTCCTAACCATAAAAAAAAAAACCGAGATTCCATTAAAAAGGCTAACTAAAACAACTAAATGAGAATTTCTTGAAATTATTTAATTTTACCGTAGCGTGATGGATCATTTGAGATCCTTCGGAGAATTTCACCTCTGGAATCAAAGAGGCTGTACCGAAAGCTAGGGCGATGGAGTGCTTTGGCCAGCTTATATAGCAAATCAATAAGGAAAGCATTGTGTAATGTCACCATGGAGTTAAGCATCTCCAGACAAGTTTCACCAGTCTTAAACTCTTGTCTCACTATCGGTAAGCACCCGACCGGACCCAAGTCCTGTACCGCAAATGTTTTCGCCCCAGACCCGTATAAACTCTGCATATCGTACAAATACATTTTCCGTTGCATTGTAACATTTCCTAGTTGGATCAAGTGAATTATATAAAATTGTTAAAGTAATTAAGTTAAATTTCAGACGAGAAGAACTTGGTGTTGCCAACGTCGTAGGAAGAGTCGCCGAACGTGAATAAGAGAGGAGGCTCTCCGGCACCGGAAGCGTTTGCCAGGAGACCGGCGAGTGTAAAAGACTCTAATACCGCCGCTATGAAGAATATCAAATTACAGTTCTTTGCCATTTTGACAAGTTTTTAGCTCTCTTTCCACTCTGTGTTTGGAGTTTTATAAATGCGCTTGTTATTAAGTGTTAACTCGGATGATTAATTTAGAAGTGAACCATATAAAACCAATAATGATGGTTAATATTTAATCAAATTATTTTTAATACCAGTAATGCCCTCACAACACCAGCCAAATTACACTTGCTTACCACTCTCTCAGACTTCATTACTTTAGTTATAGTGCAAAAGATAAACTTACTTCAGATGCTTTTTTCAATGTAAACGCACTTTTGTTTATTTCCCATGGAATACGAGTTTTACATCTTACAACAACAACAACAGCGGTTTACTTATTATCGCAAAGAAACAGAACAAAATTATGAAGAGGTTTCTAGATTTCTTGCGCAGGAAGATTAGTCATGGATTTACCAACAAGATCCCTTATGTTAACCGGAGAGACGACATGGTTGTCACCGGAACAGAAGAGCTTAGCAACATCTTGATCCGTTTTCTCCGTGTTGTGACGCCCGTAGAAGAACAGAAACGATTTCTGGTAACTGCATAGTTTCGAATGCACGTTTGCGTAACCGCATCCGAACGCATTTCTCGACCCAGTACCACAGCATGAGGTCGTTGTATCAGTATAACCTAAACCATTAAACCAAAATTAGACTGTTCAAAAACAGAGTTTTTCTTTTTCTTTTTTTTTTTCTTTCTCGAATTATTTTTATTTACCGTGTCGTGATGGTTCATTGATCCTCCGTTGAATCTCACCGTAGAAATCAAAGAGGCTGTAACGTAAGCCACGGCGTGCCACTGTCAACGTAAAGAGCACACGACCAAGCCTTACATTGTGTGTCGTCACCATGAAGTTAAGCATCTCATGACAAGTGTCACCTGTCTTAAACTCTTGTCTCACTGTCGGTAAACACCCGAGCGGTCCCAAGTTCTGTACCGCAAACTTCCTCGCCCCAGAATCGTACAAACTCTGCAATCATCAAAAACATTTCATAAGTTGGATCCATGAAGAGACTTGTTATTCAGTAATCATATACCATTAGTTCTCTGGATAGCTTTTGGAGAACGTTGGCAACATGAGCAATCTGCTCCCCGAGATTGGCGTTTGGATGAGCTTTTGCGAAACTCAAGTAATCGTCAGCTCCGATGTTGATCATGTATATAGCTTCTGCTCTCTCTTTGTCGCTCCATTTCTTCTCCAACTCTGTAAATTTCGATACCTGTTGTCCCAAACTCATCTGCGTAACGGAAACAACAAAGTCAAATAGAAATCATTAATATATATAGTCTAATAAATCTATGTCGGAAAAAAAGAAGGTTACAGTCTGAGGTCGAGATCCAAGAACAACAGCTCCAGAAATGGCGAAGCTTGCTCCACGAGAAAGATCGGCTTTTGGATCAAGAACCGGAGGAACCGGTTCGCCGTTACCAATCAACCGGCCTAATTGCAATTAAAATATCGGAATCAATAACTAGAACCTTAGCAAGAAAGTGTAAGGCTTTCGTCTATGTGTGTGAGTGTGTGTATATATTTAACATTTATACCGACGAGATCGGGGACAATGGCGCCGTCGGACCACCGGCCAGATGGATAGTCGACGGAGTCACCGTAAGGCCACATGGTGGCAGGATCGAACTCAGACGAGAAGAGCTTGGTGTTGCCAACATCGTAGGAAGAGTCGCCGAACGTGAATAAGAGAGGAGGTTCGCCGGAACTGGCGAGTGTAAAAGACGCTAATACGGCTACGAAGCAGATTAAATTACGGTTGTTTGCCATTTTGAGAGGCTTTTTAGCTCTTTCTAACCTTTTTAATACCGTGCTTGTAAAGTGGTACTATGTGCTAGTATGATTCAAACAAAACCGAAGTTAAACTCGGTTGGTTAATTTGAATTTTTTATTAAACAAAACAAACCGAAATGTTTTAAAAAGAAATACGCGAATCGATATAAATATTAAACTGAGAGAAATTTGGTAGGATGTGACTTTGTTATCATGAGAACTGGAGCTAGTTAATATACAACGTGATGCATGCTGTTTGTGTTCCCTATATCGGGAACTGGAGCTAGTTACGGGAACTCGAGCTAGTTAATATACAGCGTGATGCGTGGCAAATATAAATACTTTTTGAAAATACTAGTAAAAAATTAAAGCTTTAAATATTAATCAGATTTTTTACAAAAAATATATTAATTAGATTTATTGGTTGAAAATCCTTTTAAAATCTTTCTATAACACTCGCATCCAATTTAAAAAAAAGAACGAGCTTTAGATATTTTGTTGTTTCTATAGTTTTTTAGGAAAATTGGGAAAGAAAACAAAAATTACTTTTTTCCAATTTTGAATTTTCCCAAGTCTTTTTTTTCAAAAGTCACTAAAACAGTAAAACGTAGTAAAATCTGACTTTACTTTTAGTCGCATTTAAAGGGAATGACTTTTTAACAGTAAAATACACGGCATCTCTCTCAGACGAATATTGGTCAGGTGGCAAATTTCACGCTCCACCTGTCATTTTTTCAAAAGAACTTCAATGCCAAACTTGCTAATTATATTTGTAGTAGTGTTTGGTAACCTCAAATTTTATTAAAATAACTTCAAGAGCTTTTGTACGTCATTCAAATTTTGTTACTAGCCAAACTACAAAAGCAATAAATCTAGCCAAGCAGATTCATAACGTCGGTGCAAAGTAATTAAATAGGAGAACTACTTTTGGATTGTGATAACTGATAAGGCATCATCGATTTGTGAGGCTATCAAGCAATTGATATTCCTTACTTTTAAATAATGTTTAGGAGTATAAGAATTTTACATTATTTACTGGGCTCTGAAGTCAAGTTTAGTATATAGAAACAATCAAACAAACATAAACAGAAACGATATATATTAGTGGTCCAGCACGCAATCCAGCCGTAGAAAACGACTGCAATGTAGTGTATCAAGAAATTGATATTCTTTACTTTAAAGACACTAAAAATAATAGAATGATGCTAAAGAGTATAAGCATTTTACATTATTTATTGGATATGAAGTCAAGTTGTATATAGAAACAACCAAACAAGCATAAACTATATACTCCGTAATTCCGTATACATATTATTGGTCCAGTCCAGCACGCAAATAATTGCCAGTAAGCAAGCTGTAGAAACGAATGCAATGTCTCTTATTCGATTTTTCATAGATTACAAAAGCAACCGAGTACACGTACAACAGATGAAGCAACTTATTCGACGGAATAAACAGAATCACAACATAGTGATCGAGACAACATACGATAGTAGTAGTAGCAGCTCATAATTCATATATGACAATATCGACAGAATGGTTCAGCTCAAAGTCATTTGAGCCAAACTAATAAGCCGATGATAACTCGATGTTCGGATCGACAGATGGACGACGACGGTTCAAGGAGAAGGTATCAGGCTTCCAAAACTCAAGCATCTTGTCACCGGCTGGGTACACGATTAGCTCACGGAAGGTCATCGGCTGGATCACGTTAAGGTTGGCTCCGTAGATGAGATGAGCCATTTCCTCTTGAGCCTTCTCTGTGTTGTGACGTCCGTCGAAGAAGAAGTAAGATCTTTGGTACTCACATAGCTTCGAGTGCACATTATTCTTTCCGCATCCGTACGCATTGTGCGTCCCAACACCGCAACAAGATACGTTGGTCTCAAAAAAACCTATAGATCAACGCAAAATCATCCAATTTAATAATATCTTCATGTATGGCTTACTTACGTATAATTTTCATACCTTTTATTTTCTTTTTTTTCTTTACTAGATAAAATAAACAATATGCAATAGTTAACTTGTTGGTTATTATTTTACCAAAAAAGAAAAGTTGTTAGTGATTTTTATGATGATGAGGATGACTTACGGTAGTTATCTCTCTCCGTCCTTCGGAGAACGGCATTGTAGAAATCGAAGACGGTGAACTGGAAACCGTAGGGTGCTTGGGATTTTTGAGCAAAATCGTTCAACATCGGACCAATCTTTTCGTTGTGTTGTCTGGCCAAATCGTTGAGTTGCGGGTAACATAAGGTGCCGGTTTCGTATTCTTGTCTCACGATCGGTAAGCAACCCAGTGGTGCTAGCAATTGAACCATTACTTTACTCGCTCCCAAGGTGTATAACAACTGCAACATAAAACAGCCAAAATAACATAAATTAGTACAAAAACACATACAGTACATTGGTTTATTTATTGACAACTTACGCTGATGTCGTTCTTTAATTGGTTAGTGACCAAAGTGACAAAAGCTTGCTGAGCAGAAGCGTCTGCTTTGGGGTTGGCCTTGGTGAAGTTCAAGTAATCTTCCGTACCAATGTATATCATGAACAGTGATTTCGCGATGTATTTATCCGTCCAATATTTCGATTTCAAACTTTTGAATAGTTTCACTTGTTCATTCAGTGTCATCTGCATATACACAAGAAAAGTAAATATCAATTTAACTTTCAGAAATTAAAAAGCCCTTTTTATTTTATGTTTTTTTTTTTTGTTAAACTGTTTAGACCATTTCCATTGCATGATTTTTGTGAGTGGCTTAACATAAATTTAATTATAAAATACTAATTTTATATTATGGATGTCCTAAAAACAAGAAGAAACTCAATAAAAGTGTCTTAAGGAAAGAAACTTTAGACATGGTATCTCACATTCCCAATATCTTACAAAACTAATTTTCTATTGTAATTATATATTAAAACACTCTCCTAATATGTCTTAATGGATATGGTTTGCGTCAGATGTTTTTTTTTTAAGGGCTAAAAATTTTAACGTTTAAATAAACAAAAATATATTGATCATATACTTATATACTTCTGAAGACTTACAGATTCCTCGGGAGACCCACGAATAGAAGCACCGGCGACGGCAAAGCTAGCTCCACGTGTGAGATTAACGCCGGGTTTAAGTACCGGATTGATTCCAGTCGGAATGGTCATGAAGTCAGCTACATAAATAACAACACCCTTGCTTACTATACTTTATCATCTGGTTTCTTAATAAATAAATTAAATTAAACCTTAGAATAAGAAGCCTACCGATAAAGTCGGGGATGATGTGGCCGTCGGAGAATTTGCCGTTGGGGTCGTCGCGGGATTTTCCGTAAGGCCACAAGTGTTGTGCAGGTAGCTTTGGATTTGCTTGCTTATACAGTTTGTTTCCGGCGTCGTAGGAGGAGTCTCCGAAAGTGAACAACGCTACATACGGCATACCTTGGTCGGCGTAGACCATGAACGGATTATGGAAGATGGTTAATACCAATATTGCTCCAAGAACACTCACCAGACTACACTCGCCTGCCATCTCTCACTTACTAGTTAATGCGAAGGAGAAAGAAGATTGGTCGGGTGGTGAACTTCACACTCCCCATCAGTCGTATTTATATTGCGAAAGATACTATTAATTACAGGTAAATTAATTTAACCTATTTAACTACAAGATCAAACAAATTCTAAACGCATCTTAGATGTATACGATGCTAAAGTGGCTTGTTAAGATCAAGAACTACTATAGGTGGTCCAAAGTTTTGTTATTACGTTTATGAGATTCTTATCATCATTCTAAAACAATACAGTTACTAACGTATAACTTTAGCCTCGTATATATCTTAGATGCGTTTAGAATAATTTTTGATCTTTTTATGTTACATCTGACTTTATTAATTAAATAGTAAATGGATAATACAAGAAGTAGTATTTGAGACAAATTAATAGTTCTGATTATAAATTAATTAGCTTTACTAAGCAACAAGTTGATCATGAATAATACCGAATTGGTAGATACATATTTTTTAACCTAAAGCTTTACACTTCAGACTGAAATATACGGCAATTATGTGTGACCGTCGGCGGTTAATTAGGTAATAGCAGCGCATCGCAGTGATGGAATTCAGGAATTGAGTTGAGATAAGAACTGTCAAAATATTGATGGGTACAGTGACTCATAAGACAAAGTTTTAGTTTGAATTTTTTTTAACCTATTCTTTGAAATTCTTAACGGTGGTCGGTTATGAAGATTCTTTGTTGTCAAATTTTAGGCTATTTGGCGGAGCCCTCGAGGAAGAAGATGAGTTTTAGCTGATTGCATGTTTAAGTACTTCTTCTCTCTCTTGCGAGTCCTAACCAGAGTACATGCGCGTTTGCAGTTTTTTTTTTTTATTTGTTTGATCGTGTTTTAGTTTACATGTATACTAGTAGAGGACCTGCGCAAACGCACGTTGTGAAGTTGCGGTTTTGTGAAGAAAATCTAAATCCTAAACCCGAACCCGACCCAAAAACCTAATCAAAATTTTTAAAAACTCAAACCTTTTTAATATGTCTAAACCTGAAAACCCGAAATCAAAAAATCCCGAAAACCCTAAACGGAATTAAAAAAACTCAAAACTTTTTCACCCGAAACCCAATCTAAAAACTCTAATAAAAATTTTAAAATACCCAAACTTTTTTAATATGTCTAAATCCGAGATCCAAAAAATCTCGAAAACTCTGAACTAAACCCAAAAAAACTCGATCCCAACCCGGACAGATATTTTCAAAAAAACCCGAACAGAAATCCACAATTTGATTTAAATTAGATGTATTTCTATTTCACTATTCAACTGATTTGGTATTATTGATAAATTATGTTAATTTTTCTTTTTTGCATATTTTTTAAGAGCTGGAAAACGGAAGTTTTCTAAACCATCGGTTTGTTTTAAGTTATTATTCTTGTATCCAAACAATTTTTTCCATTTATTCTTCTATCCAAATTTTTTCTCTTATTCTTATATCCAAACAACTTTTTTTTCCATTTATTCTTCTATGCAAATAAATGTTTCTCTTATTCTTGTATCCAAACATTAGAATGTACTTCTCAATTAATAATTAATTAATAATATAAAGATGAGTATATATTAGTTTTAAATTTTTTTTAAAAGCTGTTCTTAATAACATCCAGACAAATTTAGGCTCCGAATGGAGAAAGCGGAACAAGCGTTGCGTATCAAGCGGATCAGGCGGTACAAATGCGGATCTAGCGGATCAGGCGGTACAAATGCGGATCAAGCGGTTTTGGCGGTCCAAAATATATGTTTGAATGGTAAAAACGGATAAAAAGCAGTCCAAACTATTAATATAATATTACTATAATTAAAATGTAGTTATTATAATTGATTTTAATTTTACAGGTTTTTATTTAATATATGAGACAATACTAATAAAATAATTATTAAAATTTAGTTATGTTTTAAATATTCTGAGTGATCAAAGAAGTTATTTTATAAATATTAAATTTATGCTGATCTACAAATAAACAAAATATTTTTTATAACAATTTGTGGATTATTTTAAAACTAGTAATAACCAGAAATAATAAAAAAATGCTTTAAACCTATAGCACACCACAAACACAGCAAATATGGAGCGTTTCTACTGTGCATGGCGGATCACTTATTTCCTTCACAATTTTGATCCACTTTTACTGTAGCGTTTCTGATTAGTTTTTTATTGTTACTTTTTCTTGTTTTCTCTTACATGCATGAATGACAAATTATTTGAGGTTCCTCCACTTTGTGTATGAACCGTCATTTGTTCTACTTCCCATTCAAGGCCTTAGTTAGATATTATTTCTCTCATTCCATATATAGTTGATCGTATCACCGCGTATTACTGATTGTTTTGTATGTCGCAACGTTATAAGCATACTTCTTGTCTTTCATGCATGAGTGGCTTACCTAATTAAAAGACGCACGTGTTCTAATAGTGTCACACTCGCTGCTTTAAAAAAATCAAATTAATGATGGTCCCATGGTCCATCTAATTTTTTTCAATAATTTAAACGGTCCCCATGTGCTGAATTTATATCAGTTAGTTTTACTTACCAAACAACAAGTTGATGAAAAATACTGAATTAGTATCGATGCGGTAATTATGTGTGACCGTCGACGGTTAAGAATTGTAGCTGTGCGATGGTTGATTAGACTTGAGATAAGAACTATCAAAGTTTTGAATCTTTTGATGGGTGCATTCAACATAAAATACATTCTCCATATTCATGGTTCAATAAATAAAGTTAAGACAAAGTTTTTGTTTGGGGAAAATTTCTAACCGATTATTTGAAATTCTCAATGGTCGGTTATGGAGATAGTAGTAGCTAGGATACTCTGCTGCTATAGTGCTATGTAAGCGCTTGTCAAAGTTTTGATTATTTGGCAGAGCTCACAATCAATTAGATCGTACACCTTTTTACAAAGCAATGATAATGGGGTCAATAATTAAAGTATAAACAACATCTACTCTGTTTTTCTTGGTGGTGATTGTGGGGGCGTCACGTTACCAGCCAGGTAAAAATTTAAGACCATGTGAATTTAATATGTGAATATGTTGATCTTATTCAATGTACAAAAACTCCTTTGTACCAACTTGATAACAACAAAACTAACTCAAACTTATCTAAATATAATTTTATCTAAAACTCATATTTATTGTAACTCTAATTAATCCCAATACTCTCTTTTAAGTGGAAGTGTAAAGGTTACACACGCCCAACTTAGATATCAAATTCTCAAACTGAACATATTCGTAGTGTTCACATAAACCGTAGTGATCAAGCCATCCTTAATAGCATCACGTACTTGATGACAATCAACTTCAATATGTGTAGTATGTTCATGGAAGACCGGGTTTGCCGCAATATACATAGCAGACTTGCTATCACAGAACAGACAAGTAAGTTGACCTTGTGAAAAACCCAAGTCCGCAAGCAGCTGATGAAGCTACTTTATCTCACGTATAGCGATGGACATCGCCGATACTCTGCTTCAGCCGAAGAATAAGAGACAACTGCTTACTTCTTCGTCTTCCATGATATAGGAGAACCTCCTAAGAGAGCAACATAAGCTGTAAGAGAACGTCAGCAGAACAAGCCGCCCAATCAGCATCACAATACATAGACAACGTTAAATCTGAATCAGCGCGCAAAAAGATGCCTTAACCAGCCATCCCCTTAAAAAACGAACAACACGTAACGTAGTGTCCCAATATCCTTCACGAGGTGCCTTCATGAACTGAGATAAAATGTGAACTGGATAAGAGAGATCCGGACGAGTGTTACTAAAGTCGATCCATAAGACGACGATAACGTGTCGGATCCGTGAGCAACATACTCGTATCAGAACCAAGATGATGACGTTTCTCCATACGTGTTGCAGCTGGCTTACAACCAAGCAACCATGTTTTTGTAACAATGTCTAACACATACTTCCTTTATGTCATAAGAATACCTTCACAATTTCTAGCAATCTCGATCCCCAAAAAAATATTTGAATTTACCCAAATCCTTCATATGAAAACAACGTCCAAGATATTCTTTGAACTTGACTATCTCCTCATTGTTATTTCCACAAAAAAATATCATCGACATATACCAACACACGGAGATCAACATTAGCCCGAGAGTACACAAATAACGAGTAGTTGGCAAGAGACTGAGTAAAACCAGCCTTGACAAGAGCCGTAGTAAGCTTCTCATTCCAACAACGCGGCGCTTGACGAAGGCCATAAAGAGATTTACAGAGTTTACATACTTTGTTTGGGATCAGAGTGAGAAAAACCATGCGGAAGCTTCATGTAAACTTCTTCATGGAAATCACCGTGAAGAATGCATTGTGCACATCCATCTGATGCACTTTCCATTTTTCGGCAGCAATAATTTTCAACATACTCCGAACCGTAGTCATCTTGACCACCGGTGCAAACGTCTCTTCAAAATTGATTCCCTCCTTTTGATGATTGCCTGACACCACAAGACGCGTCTTATATCTCTCAGCATTCCCATCAGAGGGATACTTGATTTTATAGACCCACAAATTTCCAAGAGCTACTTTCCCCAGAGGCAAGTCAACGATATTCCAAGTATGAGTAACTTCAAAAGCATCAACCTCTTTGCCCATCACATTCGTCCAACGTTTATCTTTGATCACCTCCTTAAAACTCTTCGGTTTAACTCATGCGGTAACAGCAGCAAGAAACGCCTTGTGCGAGGTTGAGAAATGAGAATCAGAAATATAATCAACCAGGGGATACAGTGAGTTATCTTGGATCGCATACGAGGTTGCTGTGATTGGATCAGAGAGAACGAGATGTGTATTACTTTGTCGAGCTGCATTGTAAGTAACATAGTCATGTAGCTTGACAGACTGTGTCTTCTCTCTATGACCTTTACCTAACTCTCCCACTACTGGTGGTGTTGGAACAGCCAAAGGTAACTCAGGTCCAACTTCTATAATCGCCGAATCTAGTTCAGTCAGAGATTCATGATGCGAAGAAGGAGTCACAGGAGGCACAGGGGAAGAGGAACTGGCTTCACAACTACTCCCCCTGTCGTCTGAATCAGTGTTGTCTCCCTCCTCAGCAGAAGCACTCGGCAATATGTTAACTTGTCAATCTTCATCACTCTCATCACTAATCTTTTCATCTGTTAAAACAGAGAATGCAAACTCATCTTCCTTAAAGATCACGTCTCTGGATACCAAAAACTCTTCTGTATCTAAATAGAACACCTTCCATCCCTTCTTATCAAACTAATATCTAACGAACACACACCGTTTGCTTCGAGCCACAAATTTGTCTTTGTCGCGAGATTGTTTGTGTGTGTAACACAACAAACCAAAGACCCTCAATTCAGAATAAGGAGGTTTCTGATTGAACAATAACTCAAACTGTTGGTAACATGAGATGATGTGAGAATGGCTTCTCCCCAAAATCTAGTCGGCATACTCGCTTGGAACAACAAGGAACGAGCTACATTGAGAATATGCCGATGTTTTCTTTCTACTCGACCGTTTTGCTGTGGTATCCCCACACAACTCGTCTGATGCGCAATACCATTGCTCTTAAAAAACAAACTCAAACACATGAATTCCGTGCCGTTGTCACTACGAACCATCTTGACTTCTTTACCAAACAGCTTCTCGGTGTAGGCATAGAAATTTTGCAAAATAACTCGAACTTGAGACTCTCCAACATCAAGTGTGTCCAAACCGATCGTGAATAATCATCCACAATTGTCAAGAAGTACACAGCTCCACACGAAGCGGGTAAGCGGTAAGGTCCCCAAACATCCACCTGAATTAAAGCAAAATACTCTGAAGTTTTATTAATACTATCAGGAAAAACAACTCTTGTTTGCTTCGCCCTAAAACATGTGTCACACAGACTTGGACTAGCAGAAATAGAAACATCAACACCAGAAAGCTCAGGTAAATATGAAAACACGAAAAACGCCGGGTGTCCTAACCGCCTGTGCCACAACTCTTGATCAACCTTGACATCCGTCTTGTGCACACGAGAAGCTATCACATCCTTAAAGTAATACACACCATCACATTCCTCACCGGTTCCAATCAGAATCCTCGTAGAACGATCCTGTAACACACAAACTATGTCAGTGAAAACCGCAAAGCAATATGAAAATTTCAAAATTTTTGAAACCGATATCAAAGAGCAATTCAGATTTGGAACATAAAGCACATCCGGTAATGCTATACGATCCGTCAATGGCAACACTCCTGTCTGAGTCGACACTGTCGTACTCCCATCTGCAAATCCAATCGTACACGGCGAAGTGTCTTTGACGCTAGCAAGTAGCGAGATATTGCCGGTCATGTGGTGTGATGCTCCCGTTTCTAAAATAACTAACCAAATATCTTACCAGCCAATTTATCAGAGGAGGCACCAGCCTTGTCATTGATGAGTTGAGAAATCGCTCTCCACTGCTCTAGTGTCAAGTCCATAGTGGTAGTCGGGTTTTGAGTAGTTGTGTGAGCAACACTCATCGTCTGCACAGCGTTGACTTGACCGCGTCCTCTTCCGGGGTTAGAACCACCACGACCGCCTCTTCCGCCATGCTCCGTGAACCACTCCGCATAGCCAATAATTTGCCAGCAAGTATTCTTTGCATGACCCGAACGGCCTCAGTGAGAGCACAAACGTTCCCGTGCTCCTCTGTTTCTGACCTCTCCTTGAGATGTCTCAGAGCGAGCTCCAAATCCACCATCACGACGAGAGTTTGTAGCTGCTACTAAGACATCTTGAGGAGCTTCACGGCGAGTCATGAAACCAAGTGCGTCGGTCTGCTGTTCACGGGTCTTGGCGAAATTTAGCCGGTCCTCTTCACAAATCACCTTGACATACACCTTTCTTAGATCATGCAGGACATCCGCTTCAATAATCGCGATCACTACATGACTGAAACATGACTCATCGAGCCCCATCACAACCTGATGAACACGTTCATCTTTCGTTCTTTCTCATACACCGACGCTGCTTCACACGTACACGGAGGTGCAGGACGATAGGTCTGCAGCTCTTCCCATATCTTGGCAAGTCGGCCATAATAATCGATCACGGCTTGTCCTTCTTGTCGACACAGCGCTAGTTGACACATCAACTGATGTATTCGCACCTTATTACCAAAGGATTATCCCACAACTTGTGAGCATCGGTGATGAAAGTTACCGTAGATCTAACACGAGGTTCAATAAAAGTACGTAACCATCCAACAATTATAGAATTGACACTAAGCCAGGATTCAGGATCGGGATGATCCTCGGCTGGTTTCTTCAACGAACCGTCAATGAAACTTGTTTTTCTCTTCGCCTGAAGGGCGTTCAACATCTCTGTTTCCCACTCGTTGTAATTATCTCCCTTCAGCTACACCGATGTGATCATAGAACCCGGATTATCTGAGGAAAACATCAAGTAAGGCGATACCATCACCTTCTCTACCACACTTTGCGAGGAGGTACCAAAAGGATTAGCCAAACCAGCTTCAACTTCATCATCTCCCGCCATCATTAAGAACAAGTCTTAAAGCACAAGTAACTTAAAACAATCAACGAAGAAAAGAAAGCATAGATCGGAAAACTTTAGGATCTATCTCTGATATCAAGTGAATTTAATATATGAATGTGTTGATCTTATTCAATGTACAAGAAATCCTTATATACAAAGGTATAAGTCGGCATACCAACTTGATAATAACAAAACTAACTCAAACTTATCTAAATACAACTTTATCTAAAACTCATATTTATCGTCTCTAATTATTCCCAATAGACCATCAATTCAGAATTGAATCGAACGCTTTTGAAAGGGCGGATCCAAAGATCTAAACGGGCGTTTTCTTTTCTTTTCTAAACAGACGTTTTGAAATGGCCAATCAAAAAGAGGTAGGATATAATCAGTTTTTAACGATTAGCCAATTTTATAATCGTGAAAAAAACAAATCACAATGATAAAATACGTACGATCGGATTAGAAAAATAATCGAAAATCTGTTTTTTGTTTGTTTAATAGGTCAAATCACGGATTTATTAGTAATATTCATATACTATTTAATTTAATCATTATTGTAGAACAATAAACCAATGCTACCAACGTGAAAAAGTAGAGAAATCCCAATTATGAGATGTATGTGTTTAAGCACTATGATGTTCATGATTACAGCTCGAGTGGTTTATATATTATGGATGTGGTTGTATGAAAAAGTTTACGAAAACAGTTTGCTGCGGTTATAAGGGATTATTATGTACTAAATCTATGATTAGTCTGAGTTTAGTTCTAAAAAAATCGATTATTATGTACTCACTCTAGTTATGCAACATCAATTTTTGTGTTCTAATGATGGCTGACCGCGAAATTTAATTAGCGATAAACCTTTTCACATATAAAAGCTTTAACAAGAAAAAAAAAAAGATAGACCTATTCACATGCATGTTTTCAAGTAGTTTTTTTTCTTCTCCAAACCAGAGTACATGCACGTCTACAGTTCTTAGACTTCTTACAAAACAAATTTGGCCTTGCTTGCATTATACTCCAGAAAAATACTATTTTGGAGTATATACTATTTTGATTTTTTTCAAAAAGTTGTTCTTTATAAAAATAATAATAGCATCCAGAAAAATTTAGTTAAAAAATATTATCCAATGTATATAGTTGAATAGTTGATCGTATCGCTGCGTATTACTGATTAACTGTATCAACATTATTCGTTTTGAGCACACCACTTTGTGTTTCGTGAAAGAGGTTATCTATAAAATAAAAGACGCATGTGTTCCAATAATGTCACACTCGTGTGACACATGTGCTCTAGTAAAAATTAATTATTGAGGGTCCATTGTCCATCTAATTTATTTCTAGAAATTGAAACGGTCCCCTATAATTAATTGTCCGTGATTAATACTATTAGACATTGATATGCGTTTGTCGCATGCTGTTAACTTTTTTCGTATCCGGTAGATGAGGTGTCATAGTAAGACGTAAGATCGATTGAGACATAGTATGAATAATGAATGATTATTGTTAATGCTCTCCATCAACTCATTCAGTGGACCCTTTTGAATGAATGTATCTGACTATGCATGCATGTCGTTTGTACATTACTATAGTCTCTAGACGCAGCAGCAAAAAGGTTTACTATCTAGTATGCTACCAATATGTAAAACCATAAAACACTTATTCACCACTTGGTTTCTATTCATCCATCGGTACTAGGCGATCCCAACCTTCTCACACAATATCTTAGTTATTGCTTAACATGAATTCCGAAGTTCATGTATGATGTATTAGCCTTTGTATTACTTTCTGCTATGTTTCATTCTTCTACTTTAATTGTCATTTCAAACGATGCCCACTCAATAGGGAAGAAAAGAATAAAGTAAAGTTAAAGAGAAAAAGGAAAAAAAACCCTAAAAAGCCGTGGCAAAAGTAAATGGTTAAATAATGAGATACGGATCCTCAATCCTCTGGAAGCAGGTCAAGAGGTTTAGATATAGAGAGGTCACATTTCACGACATTCATATTTCGTAGGCTCTACAAAGCCGGTTAGGTGAGAAAGTTGCACCCCCTCTGCCACAAATATCTGTTACATAGTGATATCAAGTCTCCATTTTCAGTTTGATATCAAGTCTACAAAGCTGGTTAGGTCAGAAGGGAAGCAAATACTGAAGCAGATGGATTGGCAAAGACAGCAAGACTAAATCAAAGCCCTTATGTAATCGTATATAATGTTTTAAATATTAATGCACTATTTTGACGAAAACAAAAAGTAACGATGGACTGAATACTTTTAGGATAAATGAGTTTCGCTGATATAGCTGCTAATGAATGGACTAAACACTAAAAACTTACAATGTAAGAATACTATAATATAACCATTTACAAACAAAAAGAATACTAGAAACATAGTTATAAGTTATAACCATATTCACGTGACCAAACTATATTATATATATATAAACGTATATGAGACCAAAATTATTGGTGAAAATTTAAGGTTGTTGTTGAAATATTAAATTACACTGACAAACCGTCGGTATTATAAAATAAATAGACAAGGCCGGCCAAAACTTAAAAATAAAAAGGCACATGCATGTCTTACTTTTTTTTTTTTTTTTGCCAGCCATGCATGTCTTACTAATGTATTTGAATCAGGTGAACGAAAGCTCCAAATTAATTAATTAGTAAAATATATTTAGGACCCATGATCAGGACTTTGGAGTGAGATTGGATTATTAATTACTAGCTCGTCCTATAATTTGAGTTTTTACAAGGCCGGCTCCGTCCAATTACGCTTACTCGCTAAGTCTAACACAAAATGCGTAAAAAAGAGTTTTAGACTAAAAAGCTTGATCATTCGGGATTAAAATCTAGGCATGAAGCCATGAACCATGTTTTTCTCATAGTTTAACTGTGCGAGGCTTCAGGCTTCGATCTTAATCAACATGTCTACCATCATGCCCCACGCCCCACTCATTGTTATCTCAAATTCCTGTTTTATACAAAAATGCTACTTTGGACAACTTTGGCCCCGATCGTGAATGGGGTAAGACTAGACATGAAAGGAACTTTCGAAATCCAATTTGTACAAAACTAAACTGTTAAATTTACATTATATAATATGCAACTGTGTATACTATATATCACTTTAACTATAATCTGTTACAAAGATATAACGAAATATCTAGTTTCTCAAGTCTCATCATGAATTAGTTTTTGTTATGGCATAAACAACTAAATATCTTCTTGGTTGCTTATGTACCTGTAACCAGTATTTCATGGATCAAAATATCGAATCCTATTATAATTCTTTTTTTAAATGGTATTTCTCTATTTCGAAATAATTCTTTTTTGTCTATACAAAGCAAATTTCATTCTAGAATCAATAGCATATTCCATTTGGATCAGTATATGTAAACTAACATATAAATGGTAACACGATTTTTTATCATTATGCAGTATGTAAACTAACATATAAATAATAATTAAAAAAAATAAAAAATCATTACGATAATTTTAAAGTTACTCTTGTTGTATTAATCCTTTTACAACAGAGTAAAAGTCCTACTGATTGAACTTATTACAAAAAGAAAAATGATCTAAATTAATAAAAATTGATCACACAAGACTACTGATCGGCAAACAAAAAAACGCTCTGAGCACTGAAGCTCTCCACTCTTGGCTCTCCAATGGGGTATCCGAATTCGCGCCTTTTCTCTCTCTCTTGTTTACTCTTCACTACGCTAACTCTTCTCCACCACCCCACCGTCTCCTTCGCTCAGACGCTCTTCGTGTTTGGCGACGGCTACTACGACGCCGGCAACAAGCAGTTTCTCTCCGCGAATCGTGTCGCCGCCGATTTTCCGCCGTACGGAATAACTGTCGGAGAAGCAACCGGACGGTGGTCCGATGGCCATATAGTTCCCGACTATCTCGGTAAGTTACATTGATTACATACATACTGATGACTCGCTTAAAATGACATAACTCGAATCCTCTCTGTGTCTTTGCCAGCTGGATTCATGGGTATCCCCAAAATACCACCGATTCTCCATAGCTCTGAGGATTTCTCTCACGGTGCTAGCTTCGCTGTCGCCGACGCCACCGTCCTCGCTTCCCCTCTCGAGACGGTCAGCTTTTTATCTTTTCTTTTTTTGCTCAAATCATATAAACGCTAATGTTGTCCAAAAAAAAAAAAAAAAAAAATCATATAAACCCTAATCCTCTGTTTTAGATATTTGAATTGTAATGCATGTGGCTCAAAGAAGATTATAAGTTTACGTAATAATTAATGGAATGATTTACAGATGACTTTGTCTCAACAAGTGGTGAAATTCACACAAAGCAAGAACAAATGGACCGACGAAGCTTTATCAGAAGCTATCTACTTGACCTACATTGGCTCTGAAGATTACTTGAAATATGCCAAGAACAACCCTAATCCTTCTGATGATAAAAAAAAAGACTTTGTGGATCAAGTCATCACTTCCATTGAAGCTGCAATAAAGGTGGTTCACGAGGCGGGAGGGAGGAAATTCGCATTCCAGAACTTGGCGCCGTTAGGCTGCTTACCGGCGGTGAAACAAGAGAAAGGAAACAACGAGAAAGATTGCGTGAAGTTGCCTTCAGAGATGGCAGCATTACACAACAAGAACCTGTTGAAGCTCATGGAGAAACTAGCTGGAGATCTCGAGAGTTTCCTCTACTCTCTCTACGATTTCCACAGCTCCATCCAGAACAGAGCGCTCGAGCCCGAGACTTACAGTAATTAAGTCCTTAATGATCAAATTCAATACAATCATCATTTTACAACGTTTTAAAATGTTTCTCTTGTTCTTGCAGCATTCCTTACAGGAACGGCTGCTTGTTGCGGGACAGGGTATCTAAACGGGACGGGTTGTGCAGCCAACAACGTATGTGCCAAGCCAGGAGACTATGTCTTCTTCGACGGTAAGCATTTGACACAAGAAGCCAACTTCCAGGTGGCTCATTTGATGTGGAATGCGGATCCTGTAGTCGTTGGACCCAACAATCTCCGTGAGCTTCTCGTATTTCCACTCGACGCAGCTGCCACTAGACTCAAGCAGAACAAGATTCAGATCATCTACGACCAAGTTCGTAAAGCTGGCTCTTTTATGATGTAACGTGTTAAGTTTGTGTTGGGGATGAATAACGAAGGTCAAAGTTATCTCTTTGGCACTTCTTGTGTTACTTCTCTTAAATAATGGTTTAATGTCTTGTTGTCGATGTTCTCTTCAAATAAAAATTAAGTTGTTGTTACTATAAAATTGTTTATCAAAAAGTTTATATCATTACGTACGTTGAATACAAATAAATTATACTATATCATAACTAGTAAACAGATTATAGTAATATTTATGAATCAAGACATATATATATATATATATATATATATATATATATCTAAGTACATAAGGTAGTTTAGTAAAATATGACTCTATCATTGTTTCAAGTTCATGGATGTTGTTTGACTCATCTTCCAAATTCATTGAATTGCTATATTCTTAACCAATTTTAGTGTTGAAAATATTTTTTATTATGTTTTTAAAAAACATTAAAAATCCAACCCAAAAATATTTACAAAGTAATAATAATATAGGTGAATTAATATACAGTATAAACTCTATAAATTAATAAAGTTGGGACTTTGATATTTTATTAATTTATAGAGTTATTAAATTATCGATTTTGAATAAAATAGTAGTTTTAAAAAAATATATATATATTAAATTAAATAAAAATAAGAAATTTTAAAGTTTTTATATTTTGTATAGGTTCATTCTAAAATTAGGGATGAATTCTAAATATATTTGAGTTTTAGTAGAAAAGAAGTGAAAGTTATACTTATATTTTAGTATATTATCATAGATATGTATTTACATAAAATTATTTATGGTAATTATTAATTTATGATATTAATGGGACCATATATTTACATAGGAGTTTCAAAAATATTATTATCTTATTATTTTATCGAATTTTGCTAATTTTTACACTGGCCCGATTTGGGACTGAAGAAAATTATTATTTTATAGAGTATTAATTTATCGAGTATCAATTTATAGAGTTTCTACTGTAGTTCAAATTAAAAAACAAAATCCCAACATTATTAATTTGTAGATGGCTTACAGTACTTTTTTTGGTAATGATTTGTAGAGGCTTACTAGTACCTCGTTTGGATGATGTTATATAAAATCCGCCTATTTATTGTCATAACTAGACAGAAACATATGCATAAATGCATACGTTGATCGGTTGATGAATGATGACTATTTTACATGCATATGCAGAAATTAGTTTCCGGTAAATACGTGCCCCCACTTGAATTGACGCCCATGTGAGTTGTAAGTTATTGGCAAAAGAAAATAAAGGCTCCACTTTGAATTTGATCAGGACGTACCAAAAGATGGTCCATGCAGAAGTAGTTAGTTTTTTCTTTTCTTTATACACTTGTAGTACGTTGTAAGCACAAAACACGTGACTGAAAAATCATTACCTAATTTATGATAATCCGTTGATAGTTAAATCATTACTCTTATCTTCTTTTATCAACCAAAAAGTTTAATGTCACGCGAGAGACAAGAGCCTTGAAAAATAGATTTTTTTTCTCCGACGCCGGTTTAATACACTACTAGTACTAGTATCTACAACACCCTCGATAAATCATGAACTATATGCATATATTTATAACATTAATTAGTCCAACACTCAATGAACCCATGATCAAGCAGTGAATTTACTCGCTCCCAAGGAGTATAATTAACAACTGCAGAAATAACATTACATATTGTAAAACGGTTGAATGTATAGTGCAAAACGCGAATGTTATGAAATTTACTCAAAATCTTATCTAAACTACAAGATAAGAACAAACAAATCTTTATCGCATCTTAGATATGACATATGAGGCTCAAGTAGCATGCTAATGTTAATTAGGATCAGAAATACTATACACAGGCTCAAATTTTTAATCATGATATAACTTTTGGTTTACGGTTTGACCTCCTGCTTAATGGCATCTTCAATCGTGAGCTGGTTCAGGTCGATTTGAACCGAGAAATAGCAAATGGGTTTCTAGCTGGGCTTAAGAATTGTTTTACTGAAAGGCCCAATAAAGAAGCTGTCCCGATAAAAATATGATTCTGTTATAAGCAGACGAAAGTCCAATTTGTGTCATTTGGAATTCATGAAATGGATCTATAAAACTCGAGAGAGAGATTATCATAAAATGGGTCTCGGTAACTGGTAATTTGTGAAACGACGGAATAATTTTACGATTTCACCTTTTTCTTTTACCACTTGGTAATTTTGATTATCATTTCATTCCATAATGTTAATATGTATCACATCACCATTTCCTAACTTTTCTTTTGTTGTTTTCTTTGATTATTTTTGCGTAATGATAAATTTAGGAAGAGCAATGAAGTGAATGATAATGCATTTTTGTGTCCAAGTGAATTACTGTGTTTTTTTTAACCTGGTTGTTGATCTTTTTTTTGTCATCAGCCTAGCCTCTACCTAGATTACTTTAGGTATCCAAACTGGTAGAACTGAAACTTATTGAAGTGTTTAAAAGAAAGACATTAATTAGGAGGAACAGTGGAAATAAAGAAATAAAGGATTAAATGAAGTAGTGGTTACCGGAAAGGGACACATGTTTCCTCAATCATTGGACATTTCACTCTAATTAATATTATCTCCCCATTTTTCCGTTTTCTTTCATTAATCGACTTTGAAATTCATTTTGTTGTAGCTTAAAAAAAAGGCACATGTATCTAATCATATTTTTGTTTAGTTTTTAGGTTTTAACAAATCCGATATGCAGAAATCTTACTTTGGGTTTAGAATTTAGAGTTTCTAGATCTATATCCACGAGAGCAATCGGAGGATATTTAAATAGCTCAGTTTCAAAATTATAACAATAATAGCTCAGTTTCCACAAATATTAATCCTTATGTTAAACCAGCTTTGGCTTCTGTATTATGAATAAACAATAGTAGCAATTATAGACTGACGACGATAGTACTCAGGACAAAACCTTTTCAGCGATGAGAAATTGATTGTTTAAGGTTGTCACACAAATCTAACTTTTTATAAGATTTATTTCTAAAAAGAGAAAAAAAAAGGGAAAAGAAAAACAATAAAGGCTTAAACAGCCCCCACACCGCCAACACCTAGCTGATATGTGAAAAGAGTGGTTTCGTGGATTTGTGTTGCGTGGTGAGTTGCCATTTAAATAGTACGATTAGCGAAAAACATAATTATTATTATTACGTACAAAAAAATAGCCGCCACGGTGGTCCAGACAAAACCCACGTGATGCTCGTTGTGAGATAGTATGAAGAAAGGCCCTTACCGCGCCACGTCATCGCGCCAGCTGTCTCCACTTCCTCATTTCAGGGCCTTTCCCATGTTGTACAGAAGGTCTACTCCCCCAAACCTCGTCGTTTATAGCCGTCGGATATAGAAAATCCGACGGTTCGGGAGTTTTTCATTAATGTTCTTTCTTCTTTTTATTTGTAGATGCGTGAAAAGACCGAAGGAGTTTCTCGTCTTTGTCAAGGCAGGTTTTTTTTTGGGTTTAACTATCGTTAATGCAAGAATCTTCCAAATACTCAAGTGGAAGAAAAATACAACGGACAACAAATAAGTGGAGTGATTACTGAAAAGGATTTTTAGCTGTGAGTTTTAAGCAAACTTACCACCATATAGTAATAACAACTTTGTTCGTAAGAAAATGATTAGATCCGGAAGTCTAACGAGTTTAAGTCATGAGCCCCACGAGTTATAGGTAATTTTAAGTACTTGATTATAGTGTTTAGAGTAACTTTAAGTACTTGATTTTTGTATTGTGACATAAGTTGAAACGTGTGTCCTTTGCAAACGAATTGATTATCATAGTATAACGAAGAAGTGGAGAATTTGGCAAAAGAACGAGAGAGAAAAGAAATTAACAAAACTTCTTCGTTCAGATATTATCAAAGAGAAGTTGTGAATTAAATTATGATCAAATAGAATATCAAGTTGACGAAGGAATGTAAGCAACTAAGCATATTGGTATATTCTCCCTTTTTGTTTATACTAATATTCCATTCGCCAAAATGCTTTTGAATGATTCTATTCTCCAAATTACAACTTTTATATAGATAGGCCAATGGTCCGAAGACCAGTCGAATCCAACTTACTTATGATACTTCTGCGTTATGATCTTCGTTTTGCCCACTTGTAATTTGTATGTTTTAGTTACTGTGATCATTTATAAATTATATTTTCTACTACCATACATAAGTAACATATGTACGGGTTTCGGCCCAGAACTTCTTAGTAATTCAAAAAAAAAAAAAAAACGTTCATGTAGTTTAATTTACACCAAAAAAAAAAGAAAAAAACACGTTAATGTAGTTTGATTTGATGACTATAATTATTATTAGAAAGATATTGTATGTGTCTTCTATTTTGAAATACTGTTTTCTTATTGTCTCTTACATGTCATATAAAAGATGGCATTAAAATAGTTTCAAATCAAAACCAAATGTTTGGATTTGTTTCGTTGATAGATTTATTACAGCTTATTTTATCCACTTACGAAAAAACTATTTGCTATTTTGTACTCGTCGTCATTCAATAATTTTCGCCAACTTTGTCTTATTTACCGAAAAAACCTTACATCATATAGAAACTCAAAATATTTTCTTTTTATCATAAACATAAACTAATTTAGTAGGAGTTTCCGAGTTTGTACACTCGTGCACGTTTGATTAATCTTTGCACTGTAAGAAAAGTACGAATGGGTCTTCGGTTATTTGTATTTTTATTTGACAAAGTAAATTAAAAACGTGTTTGAGTTATTTGTAAATTAGAAAATTGTCATTCCCGAAAATGCTGATCACGTTTCTCATTGACTTCTTATTAAGCTTGTTAATCGTTAACATCAAAGCTCATTTGACAATAATTAGTACAAATGTTTTGGAGGGTAAATAAAGGGTTAAATTATTGTTTGCGGTTATACCGAAAACACAGCATAAAAATCAGTTAAATGAAACGGTAAAAAAAATTATCGCATAAAAAGACTCATTTTTTTTTTGTGGTTTATTGATAATACTCCAAAGATCCGACATAAACA